GAAATCATTTCTTTTCTTTGGAGATCAACCCTGACGAGCAACAAGTATTACCCTTTGAGGTAACTTGTCTCAAAATTGCCAATCTAAGGACGGGAAAAAGTGCGAGATACCAGATCATGAAAGTAGCCCCGAAGAGCTGCGGCAGCTTGCTTCTCACCCTGGAAGGGAAATGTGCAGTTTTGATTTAAGGCTACAAAACATGGGATCTTGAAGCTCTAGGCACAAACTACTTGCCGAACATGTTGCGAGATATGTCTGAAGATAGCAAGGTTCTTCGTGAAACATTTGGTGTCATAGACTTGCAACCTGTCAGAAATGAGGTGGACATCCCTGTATAGCTTCTCTCTTGTGAATCAGACATACTGTACTATACTATACTCTGCCATACTAATGTTTATTATTTTATTTTACTTTATGGTATATTAAATTAGATTTTATCTAATGAAAATATATCCGATTAGATGAAAATCTGCTTGTCTCATATTTATGTGCTGTAAAACATTGTACTTGAAAACATTTATGGTTATATAATATTATAAATATAATATTATAAATATAATATTATAAATATAATATCATAAATATAATATTATATATGTATAATATCTATCTATCTATCTATCTATCCATCCATCCATCCATCCATCCATCCATCTATCTATCTCTCTCATATCTCTTTGAATTTCCATATTAGAAGAAATCCAGCCGTGAAATACATGTAAATGCTTGAATATCTACTATGGATACATAAACTGCTTAACACACATGCACCTATAGCTGTTAACAGGCCGGCCACAACCATGCCCGCTACAATCTGACAGGGTCATAACGGGTTTCGACGATGACTTGCTGTTTCGCCCCGGCCTCCGTGGTGAGGCTGCTGTTCACTGACTTATGGTGACAGGCTGGATCAGGCTGTAATTCGCCTTCCCCATTTTTCTGCTTTTTCTCTGGCCTCGCCAGACCACAAAACTGAAGAAGGAAAAATTCTTCAGGCGAGGTGCTACATCGAAGTGCTACAGAAGCTACCTAGCACTTCTATGATTTCCATCGCGACAAAAAGAAAGCCAAGCGCCACTATTTCCAGAATGTAAGGTCAGGAGAAATGATTTAGGGAAGATGCTGCACAGAGACTGGCGATCTAACACTCCAAACGCCAGCAGAAGCATATTTGAGCTCTGGGCAAGAGGCTTTGCTGTTTGCTGCGACATGTAAAGTAAACTCACTGGACCTGAAGAAAAATTATGGCTGCCAAAGCACCATGTAGGAAATTAACCCACAGGCTAGGCGGCGAACCAAGTCATTGACCGATCGCTAGCAAGTGCTCCATCCAAATCATCACGCGCCCTGCAGACCAGACTAGAGGCCCGAAAAAAAATGACAAAAAATGCAGCCAAGATCTTTAACTTATGCTTCGGCACATTGATAATCTCGTGCTAGTGACACTTTGATAGAAACAACAGGAACATGACAACAGTTGACGCCTTTTCCAGCTCGTCGCATTTTTATTCCAAGAAGAAGAAGCGCCGCCCTTCCTGTGGGAGGATTTTTGCGAAGCACTTGTTCTATGTCAGAACAGCATACAAAAATTGAATTCAGCTTGTTCCATTGGAGCACCTAGCGACAACCGCGCATAGGACAGGTTTCGAAATAACCCAAACAGCTGCCCCAAGATGCAGAACAGGTGGCGTCTAGCCTGCGCTTGTCGCAAGTGCCGTCGTAGCGGATGGTTCTCCAAGAACTCCACGAACTCCAAGAACTGGCCCAACTATAAGGACAAAAGTTATTCTCCAATAACATGAGTGAACAGACAATGATTGAGTCTCGCAGCCATCGATGCAAAACTACAGCGGTGATGCGGGAAATCAATGGAAATGACATACAAAAGGTTCAGGTGAACCATGACAAGCTTCAACGACTGCATTAGATTCTAAGACCACTTCTTTCCTAGTCTCAGGAAATGATCAGGGAGTGTTGCTGGCTGCCTGTCACCAACGATCTCCGGCTTGTATTTTGCATTGAAGTTCTTCCTGCCAGCGGTGCGAGAGCAGCGTATTGGAATATGGAAACACAGCAGGTCAGGAAAAGATAATGTGGTTATATTCATATAGGGATGGTTTTTACCGACCATCTTTTGTTATATTCATAGGAATAGCTTGTATAAGTTTGACCACATCAAATTGCATAGGCCCAGGGAACAGCTGAGGCAACAGCAACGTTAAAGTGGAAGCTAGAAGCTACGAAACCAAAAGTGTGCTGAACTTTCGCTGCTGCAAAAGACACACTGCCCGTATTCGTATCACGCATTCTTCTATTCTGTCAAGCATTCGTCTATCAATCCAGCTAACTGCAACCTACCCACTTCAACTTGTAGCCTGCCTTTTCGATGTTGGCAAAGTCTACTGGCCACGCTCTGCAGCACTGCACAGGCAGGCCACAGTACGCAGCGCATACGGACTACGCAATCGCACACCCTGTCCACGCTCTGCAACACTACATGCTCACAGGCCACAGTACGCAGCACGTATTCTGGACATTCTCTACAATGCTACACAAGGCCTTTCTTTGATTCATCTCTGGCTTCAAAGTTGTTGATAATGTTGATGTTGGTGTTTGATATTTGATGTTAATTCTGGTTGATGTTGTTGCCAATGTTGATGTTGATGTTGTTGAATAACTCGCAGCAGCGCCTGAAGCACTGCCTGGATGTCAGGATGTTACTACACAGCGACAATGCAGTTTGGCCACGCTTTGCAGCACTGCACGCAGGCCACAGTACGCAGCACACGCAAACCCATATGTCCTGGCCACGCTCTGCAGCGCTGAACGCACAGGCCACAGTACGCAGCACACGCGCATCTACACAATCGCCCTGCAGTACACTACGTTTGCACAATGAAACCAACAGAAATCAGCCCCACTCTGCATTACGCGGCACATGCATATGTGCATGACGTCCAGGCAACGCTCTTCACCATACATCATGGGTCGCTTGAGAATAAATGGACACACACATACACACACGCATGTTGTCAATAAATCATTCAGGTGCTAAATATGAAGGTACAGACTGCACCATGTAAACCACAAATTTCGAAGGCATTGTATTACACGGCCTTTTGCACCAAACCGAAAAAACATCACGAAAACCAATCTAGGTGTCTGAACTGGCCAGTGATGCTCGCGTTACACCGCAGAACTGCGGACACAGACAGGGCACAATGAACAAGACAGCTACAGCATTATACTCCGTAGCACCAGAACCTAGGCTTGGCATATAGGAGTGTTGCACTAAGCATCGCCTATTGTAAGGCAGCACGCCTGTCAGAATTCTCAACATCTTGGACCAAACACTAACTAATAGCCTTGCCAGTCAAAACTGTTGCAAAGTGATGCGGCAGGATGTTCCCGGTTTCAAAAATGAAGCACAGAAATCTGTTGTCAGTTCTGCGGCCAGCTCTCATTTTGTTGCATCGGTATATCGAGCTTGAAGTGGCTACGGCGGCTACGGCACGAAGCAGAGAAAATACATAGCACCAAAATGCCGAGGCATCATCACATGCAAAAGCAACCAGAACCAAAGATACTATTGATGAAAGCGCTGCATCGAAACAAAGCAAGCAGAACAGGAGAGAATAAAAGGAAAGAAACATAAAAGCAAAGAGACAGTAAAGAAAGGAAGCAGAGCAAAGAGGAGTAGGAAGAAGCAGAGAAGCAAAAATGCATGATGGCATAGAAAAATAGAAGTAGAAAGGTACAGAGACAGACAAGCATGAAAGGCAAAAACGATGGAAAAGCAAAAAGCAGAGAAGAGCAGAGAAGAGCAGGGAAAAGCAGAGAAGCAGAAAAGCGGAGAAGCAAGGAGAAAAGCAGAACGGCAGAAAAGCAAGAAGCAGGAAAGCACAGAACCGGGAAGCCAAAAAAGTCCAAAACCTTCCGCGGAAAAACAAAACATATATCATCCCAAGGAATTTAATGAATTTCATAGGGGTCCGGCAAAGCAGATCCAGGGGGTCCAAAAAGCAAGGTGGGGGGTCAAAGAAACAAGGTGGGGGTCAAAAAAACATGGTGGGGAGTCAAAAAAAACAAGGTGGGGGGTCAAAAAAACAAGGTCAGGGGGTCAAAGAAAAACAAAGTAGGGGGTCAGAAAAACAAGGTCAGGGGGTCAAAAAAACAGGGGCTCAAAAAAACAAGGTAAGGGGTCAAAAAAACAAGGTAGGGGGTCAAAAAACCAAAGTGGGGGGTCAAAAAAACAAGGACCCCATTAAATTTAGATTCATAAAAAACCAATAACATCCAACAATAAATACCATTTTATTTATCAATATATCCTTAAATTTTATATATATATCCTTAAAAAATCATATAAAATTCCTATTATTTTCCAAAAAAAATAAATAAATAAAAAAACACCCAATAAATTTAATTTATTTATAATTATAAAACCCAAAATATCTCATAAAATCAAAAATACACCCTTAAATTCCCAAATACCAAAAATCCTACAAAATTAAAAATATAAATTAAAATATCCTAAAAAATAATCCCAAATATAACCCTCTACAAAAATTAAATACCTGTCTAAATATAATTCAAAATAGTCAACCATTCACCATAAAATTCTTTATACCAAATATCAATATATTAAATTTTATTAAAAAATATAAAATACTATAATATTAATTATTATAAAATATAAAAAAAATATAAATTATATAATTAATATTATTTAAAAATATATTCGACCAAAAAAATATAAAATATACTAAATATAAATACAATAATTTAATATTTTCTAATATATTATTAAGATCTATTAACACATTATTAATTAATTATGATCAATTAATAACAATACATTATAATCAATTATATAATATCTATTATATTATCAATTAATCCATATTAATATAATTAATTCTGATCTATTCATGTTTTTTCGTTTGCTTGGTGAGCGCCATTCTGTCGCATCAAGAATAATTGCGTTTGACTCGTGAACTTTATGGTGACGAGCCACTGGTGAAAGATGGGAGGCCCAACGCACTACCTGCAGTGCACGGAGGACCAAGTGCCACACGGGGGCAAAACTGTGGTCTTATACCGGACTATCATGGCATATCTATTATATCTATATATTTACATGTATGTATATGCATGTATATCATATGTGTATATAATTATATATATATATACATATTGCCATCTGGTTATTTAACATAGCCATGGAAAGATCCACCATTTTTAATATAGGTAAACCATCTATTTCTATGGGCCATCTATACCATGGCTATGTTAAATAACCAGAGAGTATATATATATATAAATTATATATATATATAATAAATCGATTATATCCCGTGCGGTTTTGACTTGTTTCTCCAGCAACAAATCTTTCGCCAGGGAAGCGGATTGAAACTCTATGGAAATGACTTGGTGATCCCGGTGGCGCGGCCTCTGTCTCGCCCGTCTCCGTAGGACCAGGTGCCCAGGTTGCTTTCCTGGGAACAGCCGAAATCATGTGGTAAATAGATGGGAAAATCATGGTAAAAATGGTATAACTATATATAATTTGGGTAAATCATGGTAAAATCATGGTATAACTTGGGTAAAATAATGGTAACATCACGGTAAACTGATGGTAGAATGATGGGAATTAGATGGGAATTAGATGCTAACATGATGAATCATGATGACCAAAACGATGCTATGGGTAGCCCAATCACTTAGATAGTAATTGGGATGGTAATTCCATGGTGATGACATGACTTTCAATCTGTGGTCGGGACTGACATGTTGACCTAAGCCAAATGAAGCTGGTAACCATCCAAGAAGCACATCAAATCATAAATCTGGATCAAATAGGATTCATCTGTTAAATAGGTTTATTTGGTGATTTTTATCTTATAGGTTACATCATAACATCATAAATCATAACCAAGCACATCCTATTGATCAAAATAATTCAATCTGAAATAGGGTTATTTGGTTATAATTACCACTAACATCCACTAACCATATCTAACCATCGTTGCAGTCGCAGTGAGGTTTCTAAGATTTCACCAGATCAAGTGCAACGGACTACTTTGCTATGTTTTACATGTCTGTCCCGGACATCTCCAGCTGGACGGGGCCTCCACACTCAACCAATTCCTCAACCAATTCCCCAGATCTCTTCGATTCTGCAATGATTCATGGTGGATTTCCCAAGGATCGAGGTCACCAGGCCACATCTTCGATGACATGCCCAATTTTTCCAGAAAAAAAAAGATCCGCGCAGCTGCAAGGGTGCCTTGTTCTGCTTCTCCTGCACTTGCTTCAAACTCGCTAGGAGCTCGGAAACCTGGAAATTTTGCAGTCAGCTCGGTGGCAGCGAAGGGAAAACGATGCTGCTGTTGTGGTGGCTTTTCAGCATTGAAATATGTGGTCAATACAATGTTGGGGATCGATCATCTATAAAGATACCTACAAAATCTGAGGGATGACACATGTTTTGAATTGTTTTGAGAGATTGAAACCACTGAGCAGAACACAACGTGCCGACAGTCACCAGTCAGATGGGTTCCCTTCCGATATGTTAACAAACAAATGCTGAACCTTCGCCGGGTTACACCCGGAAGTTCGGAAATCATTCGCCGCAGATCATATTATCATATTCAGAGTGCCATCACCAACAACACTGACAGTTATATGACATCCTATAACCACAAACTACATATATATTATAGTAACACCGAACAAACAATGTTGAGAAACAGATCATAACAGTCATAACAGCGTTTTTTCCCGTTAATTGATTATCAGTGGTTTTTCATTTTTGTTTCCATTCATTAACCAAGTAGGATCTTTCTGGGACTTCCCCATGGCCCCTTGTTACAACCGGCACCTCGTCCGTGTCGTCCAAGAAGAACTTGGCAGCACTCGGCTTCCGCCCCACGGTGCAGGTGAAGAATCTGGGAGGACCCATTGGATGGGAAAAAAACATGGGAAAATCCATGGGAAATCTGGGAAAATATGGACAAGCCATGGAAAAACTATAGGAAAAGCCATGATTTCCTACCCAAAGTTCTCATGTTTCTTCGCAAAAAAACGTGGAGTTCTTGGATGTTGGACGGTAAATGCGAGATCGTACTTAGTTTGCCAAGATGAGGAATAGGTAAAACACCCATCATTCTCATCATTCTCATGATTCTCATCCGTGAAATTTATATCAAATACCACACAGTCCACAAACCTGCCTGAAAAACATTGCTCCAAACCAAATCCAATGACCGAATGATCTCACCAGGAATTACACTCAACCAATGCGGCTTTTGGACTAGTTGGTTCTCCGCACAGATATCAGGAAGACATATTTTTCTAAACCTCTTTTGAAACATCATAAAACTACGACGATTAAGAAAAAACGGAATTAAATTGCATAAAGATGAAGATCATCATCATTTGGATAATAATTCAAACATTAGAAATCCTCAACCATCTGTTTTTTAATGGGGCATCCCAAGTCGTCACCGGTTTGCTCCGACGAAGTCATGCAACATGTCCCACCGTCCCACCTCCGACCGGCATGCTCCTCTGCAAACTCGCCCAGACCTGGATAGCGGCAATTGATGGCGATTTCACTGTGGACAGTGACTACTAACTTAAGTGGATGTATGTGGATGTGTGGTATACTATGGTATACTGTGGTATTCTATGTTCAAACATACAAGACATATCAAGACATGCCGTATTTCTGTGGTAAACCGCCCGGAATAGATCATAAACATGAGTGTTGTGCTTGAGGGTTTTCAAAGAATGTAGCAAAGCACAGAATGAACCAGGTAACCACATATTTGTTTCTAAACTAAGCATGGAAAGAAATAGCTTTGTATGGTTTGTTGTTGGGTTTACCCTTTTTTCAAACCAAGGTGGGTTTACCCAATTCCCCAGCCAGCCACCGGGGGTTTTACCCCGTTGGGCATCCTGACTGGCAAGGCCGCCCCCCAAACTGCCACGCAGGTCGCCGCTGAGCCCCGGCGAAAGTCCACAAAGGCCTGGACTTGGAGCTGACCTTTAAATGGCCCCTGATAGAACTGTTAACATCCCATTAAAATGATGCTAACACATGTATGTATAATATATATATATATGATATACCCTCTGGTAAGTTAACAGTTCGACCCTGGCAGATAGGAGTTGGAAGACTAGTGGAAAGACTAGAGATTGATTGTTTTCAGGGTGTATGTTGATTTACCAGAGGGTAGTGGGAATATAATGGGAATATAAAGCAAACCATGTCAAGGGTTTAAAAGTTAAAGCATCATTAAAAACAGTCAACGTGGATTTAGCAACACAAATGGCAGTATATTGAGAGAATATGAGAGAATCATAGGATATCAATGGAATATTAAAACCCATTTACATTACCATGATTCCTATATACAAAAATGGTGGTGTAATCAATAGGAATCTCAGGACCCCCAAAATGGAGGTACTGTACCATATAAAGCCAAATATTGAGGAAATATCACGTTATTTAGCCCTAAAAAATACTGTAGGCCTTCTACTGTTGGTAGTGTAAATAGGATGGTAGTTGATGTCAATGGGGATATTGGTGGAGGTATAAGCAATCAATGGGAAATAAAACTGATGGTAACATAGTTGACCGCAGATTTTGGTTTGCTTTTAGTATTAACAATCGAATTTTCGGGCTATCTAGTTTTGCCCCATACCCATATCCTTTCATGGACATGCATGGGAATATTAATCAAACAGAAATGGACTATTGCTGGTAGCGTCATTGGATTTAACCATCAACAGCGGTTGCTATACTGGGATATCATGGTGATATAGACTGGAAATCACACATGTACATATCATCTAAATCCATGTAGATACATATATATATATACATATAATTACATATACATATAGGGTAACTAATTTAAATATGCAAACAGGTATTTTAGACTACCTCCGGGAAGGCTTTCCTTGGCCCGCCCGGCCATTTAAACATACGGAATCCCGTTCATTTAAACATAAGGTAACTACCTCCGGAACCTCGCGGTCTGGCCCGCCCTCCAAATGGTTTAAATGTCGTTACCGTATATACATATATATATAATATATATATATATATATATATATACATATATATATATAATATATATATACATACATTTATTGATATAAATGGATATAATATATACATAAATCCCTTTCAACCACTATAGTCCCCTTGTATCATCCCATTCTTTGTGCTAAACCCAAGAATTATGTAGAAATACTAGGCTTCATAACCATTGTCATGAGGGTAGCCAATCATCTCGCCTCCACCGACGGACAGCTTTCCACTGCTCTGGCGCTTGGGCCTTGGCAAATCCATGGATAAAATCACCGGAAAACATGTTTGGCGATCTTTCAGCAATCAAAATGGCGATGAACCAAAGGACAATTGAGATTCAAACAAGCAGATTTCGTTGATTTGACTCACTTGGGTGTGTCTGAAAAGGATGCATATACCTGGTACACCAAGTCATTGCCATTGTTTCATAGTGAACATGAGGAACCAAATGGACTTGTTGGGTACCATATTATTAGACAAACCCGAATAAACATGGTTGTAACATTTACATCCATTTACTACTGCTATCAATGGTGGTAGTTTTTTTCCCTCGAGGAACTCAGAAGTTTGTAACTGCGGCCCTACATAAATTCAGTCTGTATGAACAGCCCGCGAAATCTTGGCCCAAATAATCAGACAACCCTGTACAAACGGGTAGGGGTTGATCCCTATGATGGTTTATATCGGGTACCCTCTGGTAATTTGTTACATAGCTATTGAACATGGCCAAGCTATAGTCGATTTACCCATTGAAACATTGTGATTTTTCATAGTTATGTAACAGTTTACCAGAGGCTAAGGGTGGTGTATACCTACATCTTGACAGCACCGCTTCAAATCATGGAATAGTACTACTGTGGATGGTTGCGAAATCCTGCACCACCTGGGATGGTAGAAGGCCTATAAATAATGGGATAAACCACCTATTGGTGCAGCATTTCTTTCATCCACGGAACTCAAAATTCATGTTGCTGAGATTTGCTGAGCCCTGTTTTTTTGCCAGGTGAATCCAATGGATTTGGGATGGTTTACTTTTTTCCATGTTTTTTCCATGTTTTTTCCATGTTTTTTCCATGTTTTTTCCATGTTGTCTTGACTGGATCTGGGGTTTTTGTCCATGTTTTCCGTTGGCAAACTGCTTCTGGCCCAACACCAGGTGCCAAACAGCAAGACCTCCGACTTGGCTTTCAGTCGAGCCTCAGAGGCGCTGCCAGGTCTTGTTCAATGATGACGACGATGATTAAAGATGACGATGTTTGATAAGTGATGAGTGATGCGTATGGATGGATGGATGGATGGATGGATAGATAGATAGATAGATGGATAGATAGATGGATAGATAGATAGATAGATAGATGGCTAGATTGATAGACAGACAGACAGACAGATAGGTAGATAGGTAGATAGGTAGATAGGTAGATAGGTAGATAGGTAGATAGGTAGATATATAAGATAGATAAGATAGATATGACAAATACTATATATAAAATAGATAAGATAGAAAAAATAGATAAAATAAGATCGATAAGATCGATAAGATAGACAAGATAGATAATATAGATAATATAGATAATATAGACAAGATAGATCAGATAGATAAGATAGATAAGATTGATAAGATAGACGAAGTAGACAAGATAGATAAGATAGATAAGATAGATAAGATAGAGAAGATAGAGAAGACAAACAAAATAGACAAGACAAATACAATAGATAAGAAAGATAAGATCGACACAATAGATAAGATAGATAAATATAAATAAGATAGATAAGACAGATAGATAGATAGATAGATAATAGATAGATAGATAGATATAGATAGATAGATAGATAGATAGATATAGATAGATAGATAGATAGATAGATAGATAGATAGATAGATAGATAGATAGATAGATAGATAGATAGATAGATTAGATAGATATAGATAGATATAGATAGACATAGATAGATAAAGAAAGATATAGATAGATATAGATAGATAGAGATAGATAGATAGATATAGATATAGATATAGATATAGATATAGATATAGATATAGATATAGATAGATATAGATAGATATAGATAGATATGGATAGATATAGATAGATATAGATAGATATAGATAGATAGATAGATAGATGTAGATAGATATAGATAGATATAGATAGATAGATAGTAGATAGATATAGATAGATATAGATAGATATAGATAGATATAGATAGATATAGATAGATATATATAGATATAGATAGATATAGATAGATATAGATAGATATAGATGGATGTAGATAGATATAGATAGATATAGATAGATAAATAGATATAGATAGATAGATATAGATAGATAGATAGATAGATATTGATTATCCCACGCAATGCTTAGAACATGGCAAAAATCCGGGGCACGGTGCGGGGCACCGAAGGTGGCACGGTCAGGGGCTGGAGATCAAAAAAGTTGGTGCTTGACCGCTCAAAAACTAGGACATCTGGTGCTTGGGATAGCTCACTAGCGCGGTCTAATGCATGTCACAACTTGGAGATGATTCGTGGGTAGTGTTGAAGTACATCCTGGCAGAAGTTAGTACCCAGGTACTACCCAGGAATCGACCTGACAGTTGCGCCAAGCATTATAGACGCCAAACCGTTTCGGTGACACTTACGATAAGCATTATAATTCTGCAATGCTTAGCATAACTGTTCCAGGATTCCTGGGTAGTACCTGGGCAGTGTCTGGGTAGTCCTGGGAAGTCCTGGGCAATCCTGGGCGGTTCTGGGTGAAGAATCTGATAGCCGAACCCCTTATGGTCAAAGGAACCCAAACTTGGACATTGCAAAAGTCTAATTCTATTTCCACAGCACTTTAGTTCCAGAACCATGAAAGAACATAGAATTAGCGCCCAGGAACCCAGAATTAGCGCCCAGGAACCCAGAATATGATTTTCACGTTATAAGCATTACATGGGTCAATCAAGATAGATAGATAGATAGATATAGATAGATATAGATAGATATAGATAGATAGATAGGTAGATAGGTAGATAGGTAGATAAATAGATAGATAGATAAGATAAATAATACAGATAAGGTAGATAAGAAAGATAAGATAGATAAGATAGATAAGATAGAAAGATAAACTCGATATACATATATATATAGACATATAGATAGATAGATCGATCGATTGATCCATCGATAGAAAAAATGGTTGATTCATTAATTGATTGATTGATGGTGATGATTGTGACTTTGATGACTAAGCATGATGGCAATTAAACATGATGGCCATGAATCATGACGATAATTGAACATGATAATAAGTAAGCATGATGGCAATCAAACATGATGACAACTAAGCATGATGATCATTCGGCATGATGATCATCAAACATGATGACAACTAAGCATGATGATCGACATGATTATGCATTATTTATGTATACAATGTGGCGTCTCATGATTATTCCAAAACAAATGGCTAGGATCAACAGGTAATTTGAAGGGCAGCAATCCTTCGACCTATGCTCGTTTAAGTTTGAGAAGCAATCAGGATTCAAACCAATCAATCTGGCATTGGTATCTGAATGATAGCAATTCACAAACCTCAAAAGTTAGACATAGTTGCCCCCCTAGTAACCACTACTCGATTGTGACAAGAGCTGACACGAGAATGAAATCAACGTTGAAACAAAGTAGCAAAAGCAACATGAATTATTCATGGCCAGTCTTGGATACCAAAAAGGTATCATTTCATAGCAGACATTAGATTTTTCTGATTAGCTGTATATGGCTCCACGAAATTTGGCTGGATCGCTGAGGATACTGAGAAGACTGGAGCTGAGCTCGCTAGGTGCCCGGTCCATGCCACATTCGTCGTTCTCAGAACTCAGCAGGGCAAAAAGTAGCCACAATACACAGGTTGATGAAGGTGGGACGACTGGACGTGCATCCCAGTTTGTAACGCTTCGCAAGTGGATCATTTCATCAAATTAATTATATAATTATATTATCCCCTTATATTATAGTTACATCAGGGATCACCTGTGTCCTTTACAACTTTGGGATCCAGTCATCATGCCATGAAAAAACAATGGACATCTTACTCCTCATGATGGTCCAGGTCCCGCACCTGTCATCTGTGGTGCTGCTCAGCGACTCGTCCTGCCAGAGCAAAAGTCTAGGAGCCATCTGTGAGCAAAAGATGATCAATGGATTGGTTTAAGGGAAAAATTACAGGAAAGACCCATATTTAATGGGAAAATCTATGGTTTCCTGTAGATTTTCCCTTAAACCAATCCATTGAGATGAGGGACAGTATGTGACAGTATGATGTAGATTCTGAGAAATTCGGATTGGAAAACATTGGAAAACATTGGAAAACATGGAAAACTGCAAAGCAATCCATGAAGTGGAAAGCTACCAATACTTCGAACGACGTCTGGCTACAAAGCCCAATCGCATGGTATGCTGCATGCTAGTGATGTTGATCCCTGCAAATTGACAATCATGGGCTTCGACCCAACCCAATGTCCAAAATCCAAGTTGCTATGACCATCGCACATATACTAAAGTGTAATATGGGTAGTATGTATGTATGTATGTATGTATGTATGTATGTATGTATGTATGTATGTATGTATGTATGTATGTATGTATGTATGTATGTATGTATGTATGTATTATGTATGTATGTATGTATGTATGTATGTATGTATGTATGTATGTATGTATGTATGTATGTATGTATGTATGTATGTATGTATGTATGTATGTATGTATGTATGTATGTATGTATGTATGTATGTATGTATGTATGTATATGTCTACGTATTATACATATATGTCTATGTACGTGCACATATATATATACATAATATGTATGTATGTATGTATGTACGTACGTACGTACGTATGTATGTATCTATATATATATATATATGTATATGTATATATATATATATATATGTATGTGAATATATATATATATGTATGTCTATATACTATACATTTATGTATATATATATATATGTAATGTCTATATATGTATTAAATATATGTGTATGTAGAGACATAATAATAATATATATATATATATAGATAGATAGATAGATAAGCTGAATACACATATTCATTTGACATCATCACCATGAAGCTCACACCTCCTCTTTCGTGGGATCTATCAGGTTCACGGCTTCAAACATGTCCTGTGCGGCGCAAACAAACAATTTTCTTTGCCAGCAAAAACTAAGACGCAATATGGATACCCTCTGGTTATTTAACATAGCCATGGAAAATCACCATTTTTATTAACAGGTAAACCATCTATTTCTATGGGCCATTTCCCATGGCTATGTTAAATAACAAGAGGGTATATGAAATGTTGCTCAACAAGTGGTTCAATTTACCTTCCAGGTTTTTTCAAACATGGCAATGATTGGCAATGGGCAATCCCCCATGAATGTTCGATGATTTTGCCGTTGAAACAATCAAACCCGCAGGAATTTGGGATATTGAACTGCCATGTTTCATTACCAGAGGGGATATGTTTCCTTCTGCCAGGCTTGACTAAGAAGAGCTTAGACTTAGACAATCCCTCATTTGGGTGTGTCTGAAACTGGGGGTATATCCCCCAAACTGGCCATTTAATCAATGGGAATTTCAGGATCCTAAAATGGAGGTACCTACCATATATAAGGCCGATATAAGGGCTATGTAGGGGGATATCCCCCAAAAATATGGCCTGTTTTTCCCACATGTGGAGATCTCATTGTAAGGTTTCACTGGAAGGTAGCTAGCCCCTTTCCAACGGATCTGAATAGGTGCAGGTTAGAAATACCAAAGCCAGGAATGTGAGAATATTGCTGAAATAATACCAGTAATCATTCATAATTACATATAGATAGTTTGATAAATACCAGCACATCTCACATTTCGCATAGACTGTGCCATCAAAACTTGGGGAAATTGCCTTTGTTGCCCTTGTTGAACTGCCACGTTTCTTCGGGTATGGAGCAAGCCATTGAAAAGTAATATGGGTCAAGATCGTGATAAGCCATGGAATTTACTACTGCCCAAGTTTAGGACGAACCCATAATCCATAGACTGTACCCTCTGGTAAACATACAAACAACTACGGAACATCACCATTTTTCATGGGTAAATCAACTATAAATGGCAATTTTCAATAGCTTTTTGTTTGTTTACCAGGCCGGGTATACCCGAATTAGCTAGTGAACCAGAGGATTCAACTCCGCTTGATCCTCAGATGTCCATCCAGGATGGCTTCACGACTTATATGTCCCTGGTATGTTTGTTTCATGTTGGCCGTGTTGGCCTACTGGTCTAACATGGCTAACATGGTCTGTTACCGTCGCCCTCTTTTTTCTGCTGTGAAACATGATGGGGGGCTGAATTTGTCTTTTTTCATCAACCAACTCTGGTAGGTTGTAAGCACATCTTTGTTCTCATGTTGCTGTCTCCCAACGTTTGATGATGAAATCCAAATGTTTGTATCAATGGATTGGTTTAAGGGAAAACCCCATATTTAATGGGAAAATTGATGGTTTCCTGTAGATTTTCCCTTAAACCAATCCAAATCTTTGTATGTCAGCGATCAAATTACACAGTTGCTCAAAACCATCACGGTTTAGTACCCCGGAAACTCCCCCGAGTCATAGTGATAGTGATACCACCGATGATCAACCGCCGGGGGGGGGGGTTGACACCATCCCCAAGTTATACCCTCGGGAAATCGCCATGGAAATTTCCCCGTTTTGATGGGCAAATCATCGAACTAGCAAGTTGCTGGGCCATCTTGCCATAGCTTTGTGGGATGGCTCAAAACCTAGTATTACATATATTCTTACCACATTTGGGGGAACAATCATCCATGAATTCACCAATTTTGGGGTACCATCCGGCTACCATCCGGGTACCAGGGCTTTAACTCATAGCCATATTACCAGATCCCTATCTTTGGTGAACTCCTCCGGTGAACTCGCTCAGCCGACTCAATCCTCATCACTTCGATCGTCGCCGATGCACAAGACGAACTCCACTTCGCCAAACATCTGTGAGACCTGTCCGGACTTGGCGGAGTTGGGGCAGACTCGTCACAAAGCTGATAAATAAGGGCCATAATAAGGGAAACCAACCTGTTTTTGGGGATATAATGCGATATATGTATACATAATTGTACATAGACATGGCAAATCTTGTAGATAAAAACATGTTAGTATTATCCCAATTTATGGCAAAAGGAATGCAAAAGGTGGTATTGAACTACCCTAACAAGGTTTACTCAGCAGATGCCCACCAAACATGAGGGCATCAGCAATCAAAATGTTGAGAGATGACGTCTGAGCATCACGGGCCACCCCAAAGATATCCCAGATCTAGAGGGTGATAGAACATGTACTCACCATCTACGTCCGAAAGATCCTCAGCCTTCACGCCAAAAACCCAGTTGGGAACTTGAATATTCCATCGATACCAAAAGGGGTCATCAACTCTGGTAATGTGTGATTCATCTAAAACAGCACAAGGTCATAAGCAGGACATGTTCCATTCAGATGTTTGATTCATGGAAGATTGATTTGCGTGACACACACACACACCCCGCAGTCCAAATGCTTGGTCTTGAAAGCGAAGTATGCATCTAATCATATCTAACCTAAGAAACAAGTTGCATCTGAATCTTAGGAAACACAAGAAGTTCATACAAACACATCATCTCACCTATGTCGTTTCACTGCATCGCGGTTTCCATGTTTCCCAACCTGCGATCATACTCGCACTCACTAGCATCTCTCTAACTTCACTGCGGTCCAAATAGAGTGTGCATCCCATTAATCGCAATCTTTTCTAAACTCAACGATTTTCGCAGCTTTCAATCCGTTTGCTGAGTTAACTTCCCAAATGATGGTAATAACATTGCCATTTTGGCAGCCTAAACTTCCCCATGTCAGGCAAAAGCATCCAGAACCACCTGGCAGAAAACATGTCTTTGTAATGTTGCCTTTACTCCGGTGTCCAACAATGTAACACCACAAAACATTGAACTAATATGCTTCACCTCCCTTAACCATCTCCAAGATAGAAATCATCAAGCCAATCAGACCGGGTGTATCTTTTCAGTCCCAGTCCAGTATTGATTATAAAGCCACTATATTACCATATTTCCACTATATCCCTATTTTTAACGGTTAGATCCAATGCTGCTACCATTAATATAGTAATATATCGCATGAGTATCCCATGGTTCTCCCATTCATATCCTAATTTCATGATACCACCATTATACGTTCCATTGGTTGGGAGAAAACCTCTATCAACGTTCCCATTAACATTTATACTTGGGGATATTTCAGGGGATATATATACATACAGTATTATATAGTAGTCCCAAAAAGATAGAAAAGTACAATCCAATCCAATTTTGAAATAGTCAGACAATTTAAACCAGTCAATCCTTTTGGGGGTTACAGTTATGTCCTAATTATAATTGAAGGAGGTATCCTCAAATGGGGGTACCCCCAAATCATCCAAAATTAGACCATGTCAGTATCGAAGCCTATGGTGACTTGGGGATCCCCCATGACTTAAGTTATATTATCCTGAAGTATATGGAATATGGATTTTTCATCAACATTTTAAATATATATATATACACAGTATATGATGCGTATATATGTATATATATACATAGATACCAATATAGATACGTCTAGATACGTATAATCCATATATATATATATATATACGCGTATAATCATCCAAAGATTGGATGATCTATACATCTCTTTGGAATGTGTATACATTCTATGGATAATACACATGAGATAGTTATCAATACATATAGATACATACAGATATATATATATACTTACGAGTACTTATAGATACTTACAGATGTATAATCCCCAAACAGAGATTAATAATCATCCAAAGATCGGATAGATATTCTTCAGATTTACCACGTCCGATCCGCACCTTGTTCAGGGCCTTTGTAACGGCCACACCTTTGTTGACACCCCGCACCTTCACCTCAAACGCCGAAGAACAGCATAAAATTGCTGGGTTAATATACTGTTAAAAGATGTTAATATAGCTAAACATTAATCATATCATAAAATATCACTTCACATCTGGAGTTTCAAACCTTGGTACCATGTAATACAGATAATGCTTGGAAAATCAAGGAGATCCCATGGCCAGTTTTGAGGTCCAATCTATACCCATGAACATGAGCCAATATAGGTCGGGATAGAATTACTCTATTGTACTTTAAGGATCTAGGTCTAATGCATGGTGGCAAATCTATGTCTAACGTACATCTTTGTACTATTTTATGCATTGTCGTTGCACTCATTTGGTGTCTAATTTTGCTGTATAATGAATACGCACAAAACTTATGATACAGTAGAAACCATGCAGTGTACATTACATCTCGAAACGGCATATATCATCATATATCATCATATATCATCATATATCATCATATATCATCATATATCATTATGTATCATCATATATCATTATATATCATCATATATCATCATATATATATATATCTATCTACACATCTACACAAACATATTTATATGACATTTGCATAACTATCACTCATAACAGGCTTCGTGTTTTTGCTGCTTTGCGGAGTGTGAAAAGACCGAGCTGAGGCTCAGATCTGGATTTGGTTCCTGATCCATCCATCATCATATTACCGCAAAACGTAGGGATTTATTGTTAATTATTAATATTACGGTAACTACATTTAAATATACGAACTGGTATTTCATACTACCTCCGGGGCCTCGCGGTCTGGCCCGCCCTCCACATATTTAAATGTTGTTATCGTATAGATACTATTGTTCATAATGTTAATTGATTTTAACTGTACATCCATAATAACTGGTGAATGGAATGATTGTGAATAGTTGTGAATAGTTGTTGTGAATCATCCCGCCATTCCCTACGGGAAGCAGCAGTAAGTCATGGCTACACAACTTTTACGGAAAATGGCATTTGTTCCTCTTATCTGTCACCTGGTTTTGACCCAGGCAAGTGTTACAATCTGCTGAACCCAGTGACAAAACTCAAGTATCCTCCGGGTAGTTCAACATTAGCTACGAAAACTTGCCGATTTATAGACGATTTGCCTATAAAAATATTCTAAATTACTTTACTTCGTGTGATCCCCACCATGACATTTATACATTTTGTTACTGGCAAATCTTCTGGCATTCTATCTGACATATTTTCTGGCATTCGATCTGGCATTCTATCTGGCATATCTTCTGGCATTCTACCTGGCATATCTTCTGGCAGATGTTCTGGCATATCTTCTGGCAGATGTTCTGGCATATCTTCTGGCATATGTTCTGGCATATCTTCTGGCATTCCATCTGGCATTCTATCTGGCATATCTTCTGGCATGTTATCTGGCAAATCTTCTGGCATTCCATCTGGCATTCTATCTAGCATATCTTCTGGCATATTATCTGGCAAATCTGCTGGCATTCTATCTGGCAAACATTCTGGCACTTCATCTGGCATATCTTCTGGCATTCTAGCTGACATTCTATCTGGCATTCTATCTGGCATACCTTCTGGCATTCTATCTGGCATATCTTCTAACATTCTATCTGGCATATCTTCTGGCACTCTATGTGGCATATCTTTTGGCGTGGATACTCGCGGTTGAGGTCCGGCAGGGAACACTGGGCGTGGATGGTCGTGGTTGAGGTCCGGCAGGGAACACTGGGCGGGGATACTCGCGGTTGAGGTCCGGCAGGGAACACTGGGCGTGGATGGTCGTGGTTGAGGTCCGGCAGGGAACACTGGGCGTGGATGGTCGTGGTTGAGGTCCGGCAGGGAACACTGGGCGTGGATGGTCGTGGTTGAGGTCCGGCAGGGAACACTGAGCATGGATGGTCGTGGTTGAGGTCCGACAGAGAACACTGTGGATCGCGGGTCGCAGTTGGACGAGGAGGACGAGGAGGACGACGAGGAGGAGGAGGAGAGGAGATGAGGAGGAGAGGAGAGGAGAGGAGAGGAGGAGCAGGCAACTGACATAAAATCTAACAACCCTCACCTGGCAGGTGGGGAAAAATGTAATTTCCACGGCTATATGAAATTACGAAAGGGATCTACATGATATAATCAGTAAATATCTATTAAATCTCCCCATTGAAAATGTTGGTATGTTTGCTTTTTGGGTTTACCACATTGTGTCTCATATCATAATATGCGAATCATTAATGATTAGGTCCACACTCTCTGCAGTACTAGCTCCGTTGAAGCTGGATGAACTAATAAGATGCCATAAATTCATATAACATTAACATCCCGTGTGCATAGCATAATTAAGATGAACTCATGTAAGATTCAACTATTTCATCATATTTCATCATATTTCCACATATTTCATGGGATGTATCCCTAATGAATCCTGACAAACCCAAAGATTTCCACATCCACAGCCCCCATGCCGGCACCTCGACATAGCCTTTGCCCTCGAGAATCTCCAACTCATAGCCGACCAGGAGCTCCTGGAACGAGGCGGAAGTTGGGGTGGTCAGGGGAAGCTGAGAATTTTAATCATCAATAACCATCATGATTTATGCTGCGGAAATTTGCGAATCGATGTAACATCCGAATATGGCTCTAAAGTTCTAAAAAATATGGCAACCCACCACTGTATATTGAAATATCGCCACATCTCCTACAGGAGGGCCCTCCAAAGTATCATTTGGTGTTTGACCTCGTATAACTATAGAAATTCCTGTAAATTCAACACCCGGCCTAGTTATGAACCAACTTACCTCTCATACAATCATATACATATTCATCAATCATTCATAAATCACATATATCAACCAATCACAGCTGAAACATGCTGAAACTGTGATGCTGAGGATTCTACGGCTACCTGGGCAATGGGATAGATGGCCAATTGAGTTTGATGATTTACATTTACCATGACTTACTGGTGATTTCCAGCAAAAAGTTGCGAACTAGCCTCGGGGAAAAAACATGTCAACCCCTGGGCTGTTTACCAAAAGGAATCTCCCCCACAAAAGTGAAGTGTAAGCATGATCACATGATTAAATCACCTATAGAAATGTTTCTCCATTTACCATTGGTTCACCACATCTCTCTCAAAAACAACATCGTATCCGTCAGACGTCCTTCAAATGGGAGCTCAGTTCTTTCGCCTGCCAAGAGCCAAAGTGTGGATCAGCATCTCTGTACTGCCAGACCTTGGGAACGTTTCGCGCTCGAAACGGCCAAAAATGGGGACCTAACATGCAAAAATTGGTGATGTGTTCTCTTGCAAACGTTTACATGGCTATGGAAATCAATTATTTTCCCGGAAATGATCTACATTTACGAAGGATTTTTCATGATTATTTTAGTACCTGCACGGGTATATATATATATGTATATATGCACATAATCTGTACATATATATACTTGTGATCAAGGGAACCCACGCTATATTTTCAGCCAAAAAATGCCTCAGAGTACTGTTGTGATGCCATGCCCTTTCGGACTCCCCCTTCACCGGTCGGTGAACTCAGGGTCACTGTGCACATGTTTGTGCTTTGAGGCCCAAGGCATTCCAAAAGGCGCACATTACGTGCTTTCTACAAGGTTTCCTTCCGGCCTTTGTACATCTTCGACAATGCCGTTGAGGATAACCCTTTTCCTCTATGTGCATGCTGAAAATTGTTCCATGGGTTGAAAGATCCCTTTGGACCTTTGTTGCTGTTGACCCTGCCTACGCTACTGCTACTGAGAGCATCCCATTCGCTCTCAACAGGAACCGCATGGTCAACCAATGTAGCAGGATTTCCCGCTACATGTGCACTGCTGATGCCCGATTGTGTCGTGCTCCCGCTTGAAATAGCTGGATCATCAGAAGCGCTGCCACAGCCCGATCGTGTCGCGCTCCCGCTTGAAATAGCTGGATCATCAGAAGGGCTGCCACAGCCCGATCGTGTCGCGCTCCCGCATGAAATAGATCTCATGCCACCACCAGAGGAACTGCTATCCATGCTAAGGCCCGATCGTGAAGACGATGTTTGTCTTGTAGCCCCAGCTGTGGTTGCGGAGCCCGACTGTGTAGATGACCTCAATCTCATGGCGCCTGCACTGGACGCTGAGCCCGAGCTTGAAGACATACTTTTCGTGCCCTCATTGGTTGCGGAGCCCGATCGTGAAGGTGCACTCCGTCTCATAGCGCCATCACCCAATGTCGAATCTTCATCTTCCGACATCACCAGAGCTCCATCTTCATTGCGATCTTCACCAGTTGAGATACTTCGCAATCTCCTCAAGCAACACTTCGTCACATCAAAAAGGATTTGCCCAGAGTAGATCGCTCCAAGCGCCAGCAGCACTGCTCCTGTTGTAAAGAACCAACTGGTCTCTTCGTCCTCGTTTTCATCAACTGCTGAACCATTTGCTCGCGACAGAATCAAACTGCCAAGCACCATAGCTCTCATAGCAGCTCCATGAGGTTCAGCTGCAGCCGCATGTCTTTCTTCTTGAGCAGGTCGGTGCACCCTCCTCGTCGTTCTTCTCAGACCGAGGTCATCAACGAACTGCGCAAAAGCCTGCCCTTGAAGAGGTTTTGTGCAGCCATCAGCAACAAGTTTAGTGCCCTTGAGATGCAAGAGCTTCCATCCTCCACCACGGTTGCGGTTCGTCTCATCCAAGGCTTCCTTCAACACACTGGCTCTGATTCTGAGGTGCCGTGTACGCCACGAAGCTGTGGTTACACCATGAGCCAAGTTGATAGCTGCTGAATTGTCTCCATAGATGACCTTTTCGAAGTCCCATTGTTGCCAGATAGATGCCAAAAGTGCTTCCGTCGCCCTTCCCACCACCAAAGACTCGCAGTATGCGATGAGTTCAGCTTCAGCAGTTGAGTGCGCCACAAATGGTTGAACTCCACACTGCCACGCTATGGGAACTCCAGCATAGTATACCACCAAGCCTTGGATGCTCTTGTGGTCCGCACCTGCAGCATAGGAGATGTCAGAAAAGACCTCTAACATCTTTTGATGCCGTCTGGCTTTCAACTGGTCTCGGCGGCCCCAATCACCTCCAGGAATCGTTTGTGGATAGTGCATTCCACCAGGATTTCCATGAAGATACTTGAGCAGAACATACCCAATCTCCACCGCCTTCTTGGGGTTCTTTGTTGTCAGCCTGCTCATGGCCGAGACTCCAAAAACCAAGTCTGGCCTTGTCCTCGTTGACAACCATAGAAGTGCTCCAGTGAGCATCTGGGCAGTGCGCACCTCATTTGGGTCAATCTCCCCCGTGAAGTGCTCCTCTTCCTCCGTGACCTTGAAAGCAGGGTATCGTAGAGATTCTTCAATGCCCCATCTTGTCAGAAGTTCTTGTTCATACATGCTTTGGGACACGTAGAAACCATCTCCAGCTGCCCCCATGCTGACTTCAAAGCCACAGTAGCGCAGAGGTTTATCTGCTGCCCATTCCACCTCCGAAAGCGTCCACTTGCTCTGGATCGCCTCCATAGCCAGCTTCACTGTCTTTGGTTCGCCAGCCACCAAGATGTCGTCAACGTAAACTGACATCAAGCCTGCCCAGTTTTCAGCGCCAGTCTCCTGATTGACCTCCACCAAGCGCCACAGGTTTTCATCTTTGGAGTGGACAAAGCGCCCTTCAAAAACTACACCTCCTATGTCCCGATACCAGCGCAACGTGGGCACCACCTCATCTCTGTGTATGCCCCAGTCTCTTGGCGAGGACACCAACCCATAAAGGGCTTTTTCAATGACCCATACGTCCTCCGCATCAGCCAATCCAAGGTGCTTGAAAATGGTTGGGACCTCCATGGCAGTGATCTTTGTGGTGTCGCGCTTTGGAGCGTTCAAAAACGCTACCCTGATGTCACTGCCAGCAAGACACCATCCCCGCAATGCCGCGGTTCTGATCAAAGCCCTGACTTGGCAGCCATCAGCACCGCCTGCATATCGATCTTCAGTGCCAACATCTTGATAGTTTCCGCATACAACGGCACGAGATCTGTACGCACCTGTGTTGGCTTTGCGGGTGTGGACCATCTTGGCCGGGAGCAACTCAATGGGGAGCTGTCTTTCTTGAGCAAGTTGTCGAAGTTGAGATTTCTTCATTTGTTTCACAGCCTGCTTTTGGTTCACCAGCTGCTCATATTCAGCTCTCACTGAGGGCTCCCAACTTTGGATGTCTTCCCAAACCTCTTTGTTGGATACCGTTCTGGTCACCAGGAATTCATTTCCACCCGCCAGAGCTTCGTTTTTTCTATTGATCATGATCAGCTCCTCCTCGACCTCCGCCTTTTGCACCAACATCTCTTTTAAGATGGGCATGCACCAAGCTTGTTCATCCGCCGTACCATCAATGTGGGACATCTCATCCATCACCAACATGTGCAAGTTGTGTTGCACCTTCTCTAGGAAGCTTGCATATTCCTGTGAGGCTGTCAGGCATGAGCCACCGCACTGACTATTAGGCGCCTCCTCCTCTTCCCCATCTCCAGATCCGTCAAGAGATGAATCAGGTGATGGAATTGTTTCCAAAGTCCAGCTGTCATCGCTGTCTCGTTCCCATGATGGTGCATTCACACGGCCCAGAGGTTCAAAAGGATCATCCTCCCCCTCGATTGGTGCACGCATCAATCGATGCAACATGGCAGGTCTTGTTTTGCCTCGCAGTCGTCGTGCTGGTTGAAGATCCATGCCAGCAGGGCGAGAGACCTCATCGCGTTCAGGCAAGTAGATGGCATTGTCAGCCCCTATTGGTCGCGGAGCAGCACCTTCATGAGCTGGTTGATCAGCGTCGTGCCCAAGAACTGCAGTCTCCGTCGCCGCAAAGTCAGGGGTGATGACATCGGCCGTGAAGAAGTACTTGCCCGTGTCAATGGATTGCACAAAGTAGTTTGTTGAAGTCAACGTACTACAGGCATCAGGTCCAAGCACCAGAACTGGCTGCCGGGTGTCTCCCCATTCTTCATGGTTGTCTTGCCACCACTTTCGAAGGACAAATGCCTGAGTTCCAAACTTCAGCAAATCGCCAACCGGATAGCCACAGGCACGCAGTTGAGCTCGCAGGCGACGTTCTCCAACATGTCTTGCCACCAACGGCCATGGATTGATGTTGAACCTCCCAGCAGAGATCACAGTGCGAATTGCTCGCTTGGTGACGCCAAGTTCTGCTTCGCAGCGTCCATTGGCTTTGTAGTCATCCCCTGCTGTCTTTGTGAGGACAATGTCTCTGTTTTGTGCCCATCGGCGCAAGGGAGCTGCAAGGAACTCTCTGGCCCTGTCGGAGTGCAACCGCATCACCGGAAGACCAAGTTGTCGCAGTCGGCTGTAGATCTTAGCAATGGCCGGCAGGACATGCTGGGAGTTGCGACCTTCGATAGTCTCAACAAAGGTGATGTTTTTCACGGTCACGTTCATGGACTCCTCCACAAGCTTCTGCCAGGCCAATAGGCAACCATGTGCCGTTTTCTCGGCCTTTCGGTCCTCATCTTCGCTGTGACCCTCCACTTCCACATTGTCATCCTGTTGCTCTTGCAATAGATCTTGCCCTTCTTCAACTCCATCTTCGGCTTCGAGCTCATCCAAACCAGGAAGCGGTTGATCCTGAGGTTCAACACCATCCGGAGAAGCCAGTGGTACACCATCCTTGGTGATGGGGAACGTGTAGACCCCCACAAGCAAGTATTTGCACTGCTTCTGTTCCTGGTTGATGCCCGGCGTGAATTTGCCGCTCAGGTCCACTGACAAAGTGAACGCTTCCGGATGTTGAACTCGCCGATGTGGACGTGCCCGAGCCTGTGCTCTGACACAGTGTTGGCAATCTCTACGAGAGGGCATATGGTCGTGGAGGTAGTGCGTTTTCCATGACTCGAGAGCTGCAGAGCCCAGGGTCCTGACGGCTGGTTGTTGAGGTTGATCAGGATGCCTGTCAAGCCACTGAACCCGCTGGCTCACGGCCAATGAAATCGCATTCTTCAGTCCAAGGGCCCATTGCGACCATGTTCTTGAAACTTCACATCTTTGATCAACTGTCATGGCTCGAAATTGAGCTCCAGCTTCTGCTTCATTGCTAGGGGCGCCACGTACTCCATCAAGGTGCCGGACTTCTTGCACATTTGTGGCCAAACATGTAGGCTTTCTTTTTGGGTGCCCCAACGGATGTTGATCAAAGTGGTACTGCACCAAGTTGTACTTCTCTGCCAGGGCCTTCCATTCAGCTGTGCGAAAAACTGAGAAGTATCCATGCTGTCGCACATCTTCTTCTGAACGATACCTTTTTGGGTCCTCCGGCTGCTCCATGAAAAACTGCGTCGGAGGCTTTGTTTCCTCACGCATCTCTTCAGCGACCATGAGCAGGGACCAAAAGCGAAACATCAGAACTGAATCAGCAATCACCAGTTCCGCATCAGCAGGGCTCAAAGTTGGAAGGCCGTATGGATGCTCTTCAGTTCTCAGCACCCCAGGACCATCATCATGTTGATACCTCAGAGCTGACACCGTCCTGCAAGGTGGACCACCCATGATTGCTCTGACGCGTCCACTGGCACAAAGTGTGAGCAGGTAGCCAAACACATTCCGATCATGGAGGTTGGCAGGCGTAGAGCATGTAGTATCAATGCAAAGCACCTCGGTGTTGGCATTGGCGCATCTTTGATCCCAGTAGTTGTGATCTGGGCCTGAAAACAAGTGGATGATCACATGCTTGGCTTGACGGAGACGTCGGCGTTTGTGCCGGTTCCATGGAAGGTTGGACTCAAAGTTCTCCGTCTTGACCATTTCCAGATGCGGTACCACTCTCATCATGACCTCATCAGGAAGATGTGGAAAGAGCTGCCACAACTTGTAGGTCAAGGCCAATTCCAAGTCCAAACGCTGTCGATCCACTTGTGTATCATCAGCCAGCAGAGTTCTCACCATCGCCAGCTTCCGTTGTTGATGCACCTGATACCACTCCAGCCACTCCAAAATTCTCTGGCCATCTGCTAGAGATACCATAGGGCAGCCTTGAACAACTCGTACCACAAATTCCCTGCCCTCATCGTCACGTAGCTGGCATTGATCTCCAGACCATTGCAGTGTGAAGTCCAGAGCGGTGAGACCACCCATAGGCACGATCCTTGAGGTCGTCTGTGTTGGATGTCCCAACAACACCTTGGTGCCCTTCTTGAGACGAAAGGTTTCTGTCTCACCAGTGGCCAGCTGCACCACAGTCCTTTCTGCGTTGTTCCATTCATGTAGATCATGTGCAGGACGAAGTGCATGAGTGGCACCTGAATCAATCAGCACCCAGTTGTCCTCAGCTCGGTCTAAACCAGCCAGCTGCATCACGTTGATCTTGGGCTGAAGTCGAAGTGACTTCAAAAGCTGGGTAGCCTCATGTAGAAGATCTTCAGTGCCACCTTTTGATCCAGCTTTGGGAATTTGATCACCACCAGTTCCTCCATCACTGGAGCCTTTTCCATTGTCATCCCCACCACCTCCAGACTCTGCCTCCCCCGGGGATGCCATAGATGAAGATGATGTTGTAGTAGTGGAAGAATCAGCACCCTGCAAGACTTTCGTTGCTGCTGCGCCGGCTTTGCCGCCCATGCCCATCGCAGAGGTTGTCGTTGTGGACGAGGTTGACACTTCACTCCCCCCACGTCCTTGTCCAGACCCTCCCCCTGAGCTCTTCGGCTCACCAGGCTTTTTGGTGCGCAGAGGGCAATCTGTCTTACGGTGCTCCTTGCTGCCGCACACAAAGCAGCGCGCAGCTTTGTCAGTGAGGTTTTCCCAGTCATGGAGCCACTTGCAGCTTTTGCCCGCCTTGCAGCCTTTCTCAGAGGCAAAATAGCGGCATGGTTTGTCAGCCATTGGACTGGGTTTTGTTTTGAGGTCCCCATTGGAAAACTTGGTCGGAGACTTCATGTCGCCATCCAGCTGCTTGAGTTTGAGGGGCACTGTTGAAACTGTTGAAGTAGAGGAGGTTTGAAGCAATGCTAAAGTTTCGGCTTCAGCCAACAAACACTGAGAAAACGCCCAAAGATTCTGATGTGTTGGTTGTTGATCCAGTTGAAGCTGCATCCGGCTCTGGCTCAAACGAAATGCTGCTTGGGGATCCATGTTGCCCAGAAACTGCAGCGGGGTGTCCAATGCTTTGAGTAACAAGACACCATCAGGCAATGCAACTTCAACTTCTTGAGCTCGACCATAATGTCGTCGCCAGTTGCGAATGCCTGCCGCAGCTTCAGTCACATCTTTGGCTTTGGGGATTGTTGTCAACTGAGACAGCAGCAATTGTTTCTCTCCTGCTCCACCAGGTTGAAACCTCACCAGCAGCTTGTAGATGATTGCAGTGGAGCTCAACACACGATCTGTGACAAGTGCCTGCTGCTCTTGTGCTGGGATCGCCTTGAGAAGCATCTGGATCCCACGTTGTTCAGTTCTCTGGAAGTGGGCCTCCTGCAAATCTTCAGGTAGTCGAGGTTGGATTTGGATCCGTTGCAGGGGTGAACTTCGGCGCCACTCCTCATAGAATCCTTTCGCTTCACGCAAAGTTGATTCCCACCACCATCCAGCAGAAGCACTGATGTCTTTCATGATCGGCGTGATCAAATGCAACCAATCTCCAAATTGCAAAGGAGACGAATCAGAGGGCAAATCAGGTAGCTCTCCTTTTGTGTTCATAGATCCTGAGCCCTCCGACCATGGGCCATAGGTGCGCTCAAAAAACTTTCCATCTCCCACTCCACCTCCCCCCACATCATGCCGTGGAAGTTCACAGGAGCGTCCGGGTCCACAGTCAAATAGTCCCCGCCTTGGATCTTCGGCCATCGAAGGAGCCCGAGCTTGTCCAGGTACAGCACCATGCAAGCCAAAAGCCCGAGCGTCATCACGGAGTCCCCCATGCTCTGCAAAAGCCCGAGCGTCATCACGGAGTCCACCATGCTCTGCAAAAGCCCGAACTCCGCCATGAGGATCATGCTCCATGAGAGCCCGACCGCCGCATTGATGTTCTCCATGCTGGAAAGCCCGATCGCGGTCATGGTGTTCACCGTGCACATATGCAGCCCGAACACCGCCTGGTACCTTAGGAGCCCCATGCACAGCCCGATGTTGTAGAGCGTCTTCACCACTGCCGCCATGCAAGGCCCGAGGCAGTAGAGAATCAGCACCATGCAAAGCCCGACGTTGTAGAGCATCTTCGCCACTGCCGCCATGCAAGGCCCGAGGCAGTAGGGAACCATCTCCACTTCCAGCGGTCGGCACGCGATGCAAAACAGATTCCAAGGCAATGCGAGGATCAACAGTTGCATGACCATGGTTTTGAGGGTTACCTTTTGTCTCACACCCTCCATTCCAGTATCCAGATTCATGGAAAGCTGTGGGAACCGCCACCCTATCCAAAACCTTTCGAAGAGACTTCACCTCTTGTTCCAACCAAAATTGTTTCGCTTCATTTGCAGACAAAACTCCAGTGCGATCTATGCGATCACTTTGAGGCTTCCACTCACTGTCCCCATTTTTTGCACGTGGTTTCGAATCACATGTGTCATAAAGTTCTATGTCACCAACATGTTGAGCATCATCAACCATTGGAATTGGTGGAACAGGGGGCCATACCGGAGCTGCTGCAGGAGGCGGCCCATCAGGCACTCGAGTTCCGTTCGGCGTGAACCTTTGCGGTTCCTTTTTCCTCTCAGGACTGGCTGCTACTTCACGGTGTTTGGAGGTTCTGGGGGTCCTGCTACCATTTCTCCCAAGCCGTCCATTTTGAGTATGGCCTACACCAGCACCCACTGAGCTATCTGTAGAACCAACCCCATCAACAGCTGACCATGGCGAAGACTCCATTCCAGAATTGGTCTGACCGACCTTCCCCTTCTCAACCATGTCCCTGAGAGTTGCTAACTCATTCATGAGTATCGAATTCTGATTCCTGAGGAACGCCACAAGTTCACCTTCAAGCGCCCTTTGAAGATCTCCATCATTCTTTTGGGATTCAACCCCACCAGTTGGATGCATGATACGCCCCATAGTTTTCATTCCGGTCTCACCCATAGGCATGACTCCCTCAGATTTCAGTTCTCTGCCAAGCCGCCCAACCGATCCAGACAGTGCGAGCTCACCTGTCGAACTGCCACCACGGCCTTTTCCTGACTGACCTGGCATCTCCTGAAAAGACTGCTCTGCCACACCTGAAAGGCTACCCTGCAATGGGTCCATGTCACTATCATCCAAACCAGTAGGCAAACCTCTAGGCCTTGTAGATTCCAGTAGGCACTCCGCTCTAACCCTGTCTGAGTAAAAGGGATTGGATGCCACCGGAACCGAACGTGCCCTTTCCATTGCGCTATGCGGCACCGTAAGTTGGGCTCATAACCCTTGTGATCAAGGGAACCCACGCTATATTTTCAGCCAAAAAATGCCTCAGAGTACTGTTGTGATGCCATGCCCTTTCGGATATATATATATATATACATCAGTATATATCATTGATTATCATTATATACAGGAAAAGTCAATTGGGCTCATTACACTACATAGGATGGACAAAATGACATGATTGTATTGGTGAAAACACTAGGACATGGATAGAAATGAGGCGGCTGTGGTTGCTTTGCATCAGGAAACCTACTACAAACCACGGTTCTACCATCCTAATTCATAGATGCTCCATGACTTTCATCTATTCTCCCTATATGAACCATAGGTTATTACATGCTTCCTGGACATGTTCGCTCAAGTTCTGGAAGCCATGCACCTGTTTTACCAGACTATCCCCTACCCATAGGGTCAAGCGGAACTACCTTTGCTTGGGATGTGCATGGTTAGCTATGTTAGCTCCACCACCAATCTCTTCAAATCCAAACAACTGAGCTCAAAACCAGCGCACTGCCCTTATTCTCAATGAAGCTGCCTTGAGTCCTCTGCAACCAGTGGCCCAAGCTGAACACAACAGCAGAATCCAACATGAGGATGTGTCCAGCTGCCGGAGATTCTGAGCTTGGTGCCCCAATTATCCACGAACCAATGGCTACTGGACATCCACTGGCATGTTGGATATACACATAAGCAACATATTATATATATAATATATATATGATTATGTATATATATATATATATATTATAGATTAATGATATGGGTATGCCGGTATACCCCATTTCTGGACTTAGACCCCATATTCTTGATTACAACCCCAGTTAAACATCTCCTGTTTTCAACGGGTTGGTTGAAACCCCCGTTGAACATTGCGCCTCTTCACAAATTGGCGCATGATTTCGAAGGCAAAGGACTGACGCCGAAAGGTGGCGCTGGACCCAAAATGTGTTGGGAACTAAGGCTGGATACAAACTATTTATTGGGAACAAAGATTAGCGATTATAATTTATAATAGTGGTTAATAGTGGTTAATAGTGATTAATACCTGAACCAGGACTTTAAAAAAAACACAGAAACGCTTATATTGACATGCCCAATTTTAAGGCGATCAGCTATGTTCAGCTTTTGCCAACTCACTGGAATCTGGAATCATCCAGCTTGGGATCATGGCCAGTGAAGAAACTCATTTAGATTCACTTCTGGGTCACATGGCCAGCATTCTGATAAACACCGAACCAGGAAGACATGACAATTTCCGTTTGCAGCCAGTGTTTGCAGCCGATGTAAGAAGTGTAAACAAACGATTCTCCTTCAACACCTGTTACAGAAGAGAAGAAACTCAAATGGAAAGCTCCAAATGGTTCGATGACTCACATAAATTTACTCAACGGACCACATACTTGGTCGTATCATGTCCTATCTACCCCGTCAATCCCAATACAGTCCAGTATAGTCCAGTCATATCCAATTGCAGCCATCCCTACTCACAGCCGCATGTTTTCCTTGTAATGGTGCCAGCAACCCGTGGGGACCCAGTAGCTCAGCTCTTGGACCGACGAGAATCTCTGAATCAGTCACTACGTGAGCAGGTCACAGCTGCTCTCTCTATGTTTCCATCTGTTTCCCCAGGTCTTGTTGGTTTTACCCTAAGATAAACTAACATAGATGCAGAAAAACCAACGATTTGTAGATTGTTTTCCTAAGGAAACAGTAGGTTTTCCACATCTATGTTAGTTAGTTGGTCTTACCACCATGTTTCATGGCTTCTATCATGGTTGTATCCACACGTTCCCCACTGATGTCCTGAATGAATGCACAGGCTTGGCGGAAATCTATCAGTCTCTCGGTTACCCCTTCGGAAGGTGATCCACACATGATGGATATCATCCAGGTACTTACCTCAGCGGGGTAGAGGCCCTCATTCTTATTTATGTTCCCTTTATATCCCATCATATGTATATATATATAAGTATATATACATATAATATATACTTATATATATATATATATGTGTGTCATATCATATCATATCATATCATATCCCTGTATTCTTGCGCAGATATCCCCATGAGTCCCCTAAATTTCATGAATTCCATCTAACATCTACATGGAACCGCTGGTTGTGTCGGCCTTCCAGGAGTAGTCGGGCTTTTGAACCATACCTGACGTTGAAACATGGAGGCTCTCCGGCATCCAAATGCACTAAGAAGTGACACATGTTTATTCAATTTTATGCCATGGTTAACCATGGTTAATAGTGACTAATAGTGGTTATATAATAGTGGTTATTAGTGATTATTACCTGATCTAATGAATAATATATCTGGTTGGTGGTGCAATAACCATCTTGAAAAATGATGGAGTTCGTCAATGGTGGTAGCCATACCACCTATAAAAATGGTGATTGTCCATGGTTATGTTAGTTTACCAGAGGGTAATGAAAACAAATAACTGGTTGGCGGTTTTAACCATCTTGAAAAATATGAGTTCGTCAATGGGAAGGATTACATCCAATATATAATGGACAATAAACTTGTTTGAAACCACCAACCAGTATAGTTTTGTTGTTTTCATAAAGGATCTTAAACGCTTCATTCATTGATATTCCACTTTGATATGGCAAACGCCTCACAAACTTCTGTTTTTCAACGCACCGAGCAATTGCGAAACAGACCTATTGACCAGCCCACGGGGCAGCCCAGTCGACCTGAGAGTCCCCACAGTGCCACTGTCCTCCGGTGCTGAATGGCAACTTGTAGAAAAATCCTGGCAGCTGCACGAAGAAAAGTGGCTGAATCGTCGACGCAAGATGACGCAAGCGAATAAGAAAAAAACTCTGGGTGTGACGCACGACAAACACATGGAGAGACATGTGAGACACCATCTTATAACATCAAAACAATCGCTGTCGAATCCCTGTTGCCATGAACTTGAACATCCCTTAATTGGCAATACTTCGGCCAGACTTCGCGATGGCTCGACAACGACACCAAAGCCACACAGTTGATCACCATCTGGGGTGAAAACATAAAGCCACCAAAAAATCGGACACAGTTGATCACCATCTGGGGTGAAAACATAAAGCACAAGAGATACTTGTTACTTAAAACTATTTAAGATACGATAAAACACGAAAAATGTAGTTCAAAATGTTTGAAGCGGATTGAAATGGCATGAAATGGCTATATCACGCTCCCCATTCCAGGATGCTTCCATATCAACCTCCAGTTCTTGATAGCTAAACCACCCAGAAACTGTTTGGGTCCCGCCTCGCTCCGCGGCAAGTCCCAAACGGGGGACCTTGCCAAACCACTCCTGCGAGCGAGCAGTTTCAGCATCACAAGAGGTGACATCAGAATAATCCAGAATCGTATGCATCTTGAAATGCTATTTCAAAACCACACAAATTATCTAAATAGTGTTGATTGATTATGATATTGATGGTAGTTTGATGATGGTGATGATGGTGATGATGATGTTGTTGATGATAATGATGATGCTGATGATCATGATCATGATGATCATGATCATGATGATGATAATGCCGGTACATGATATGATATGTTAGGATAGGATATGATATGCTATGTGGTGATAATGATGATCATTAACAAAATGATTTTGTTGATGATGGTGATGTCGAGGTTGATGACGGTGATGGTGATAATGGTGTTGTGGATACTGATGCTGTTAAAGAAGAAACATGTGCAAAGGAATAATAATACGAAGACACATAATAAGAAGAACAGGACACACACAAAAAAAAACTATGATGGTGTTGATAATTTTGTTATTGTTGTTGATGACAATTACAATGACACTGATGATGACGAGGATAATGATGGTGATCATCATGATCATCATGATCATCATGATCATTATGATCACCATGATCATCATGATCACAACGATCACCACGATAATCAGGATTATCATGATCTTCATGAAAATCATGTTAATCATGATATTCATCATATTCATGATCATAATCATGATCATGATGACTATCATGATCTTCATGATCTTCATTATCGTCATCACCATGATCATCATCATGATCATCTCAATCATCGTCGTCATCATCATCATCATCGTCGTCGTCATCATCATCATCATGATCATCATCATAATCATCATCATCATCATCATCGTCAATCATCATCATCATGATCATCATCATCATGATCATCAACATCATAAGGATGATGATGATCATCATCATCATGATCATCACGGTCATCATGATCAGCATCAGCGTCAGCATCATCATCATCATCATGATCAACATGATCATCATGATGATCATGATGATCATCATCACCATCATCACCATCATCATCATCAGATTTATATATATATATATTTATTATCATACACACACATATATATATATATATATGTATATATAGATATCATAGCCCAGGTCGTCCCTCAGGCCTCCATCATTTCACAGTTGCGACCGCTCAGGATCACCACAGTGTTCCTGGAATCTGCACCTCGGAGACGCGACGTGGGTCTTAAAATGCACCTGGAATCTGCACCCGCAAACATGGCGATCTTCACCAACCATGATGGTGATATAGTTATTATAGTTATATATATATATATATTCTATAGTATTATCTATTATGTTATATTTACAGACTTTTGTAGATAGATTTATGATTGGGGAATGTTTGGCATGTTACTGTGTTTCCCCTGCCAGGTGAGGGTCTCTAGATTTTGCCAGGTGCGAGCTCGCCAAGTAGATGTCAAATATACTGACAGAAGACATGCCAAATAGAATGCCAGAAAATATACCAGATAAACTGCCAGATAAATGTCGGAAAATATGGAATGATAGAATATATGTATATATAATTATATACGGTATATATGTCAGATAGAATGACAGGAAATGCGCCAGATAGAAAGCTAAATAGAATCTCACGTTGAATCTGCTTCGTTCCCTATCTACATTGGTTGTATTTCCATAGCTCACATCGTCCCATCTCAGGCTCATATTTCCTACACACCTTTTGGCTGTACAGTAATATGAACTCTTCGACATCCACAATGTGGTCTAAATATGTCCCCAGAAAATGCTACGATTCTCTGGATGAACTAGCCTCTGGTAAACTAACATAACTATGGAAAGATCCACCATTTTATAGCTGGGAAAATCCACTATTTCTATGGCCATGTTCAATAGCTATGTGTGTGTTTACCAGAGGATAAACCTCCATTTTCCTATGGTTTTCCTGTGGTTTTCCTATGGTTTTCCAACAAACTGAACCAAGATCATGCTGGGATAAATCCCCCTAACCATCGATGGGCGACGTCGTGGCAGCATCTCAGCGCCGAGCTTAGACACTGGAGGCAATCCATGACATGTTCGTTGGGAGCAGTTCCTGGAACCAACCCGCAACCACTTGGGGTTTGTAGCCCATATTCCACTGGATTAATACCTTCATGTTACCATTTATTCATATTTATTGAATGGCTATGTGATATCTTCGATTTTCGAAAAACAAAAACCGGCTGCCACGGTGTCTGCCATGGTTTTCTCAACTGCTGATCTCAACTGCCACGGTGGAGGTCCTCGACTTGCTAAGTCCGTCAACGCGGAGGTGTGGGCGGTGTACTTTCTTTCCATGTGCCTGCGCTGGGAGAACTGGGGCGGGCAGGAAAGACATGGTGCTACAGGCTACAGGTTCAACAACTCCGAAGCAAACATGTTTTTTTTCACATCGTTGGGATCTAATAATCTTCACTGAATCAACATGAATCTCACTGAATCGTTTGGTTATAGTTTGAGTGTGACAAACATTGTCCATACGATCTGTTTAGGTTATCAAGATAAAATGCTCGGGAATTCACCAACGGTGGGATTCTACAATAGGTGGGTCAGGACTCCCCAAAGGACATTCAACTCCCCAAGATCTACCCCCGCAAAATAAGGCATGGTTTTCCCGAGCGGAGTAGCACGAGCATCCGGATATTGATATCGGCAATCGTTGCTTCTGTATATATAATAACATTATATAAATAAATATATATATATTTATATCTGAATGTTTTTTTTAAGTTCCGAAAGGCAACTATGCACTTGTCAAGCTATGACTGGAATTCCTATGCCAATATATATATATTATAATATAAATATCATTATGGTGACCTGTAAATATAGAGTAGCCGGTAGCCTGAATGTTGATAAATCAGCTATATGCATTGATGGTTTGTACCACCCATAAAAAATCGGGGATGGATGGGGATGATGGATCCTATTGCTATACTAGGCTATACTGACATTATACATATTTTTCCTCTTGAACAACATCATTTGCCCAGCTCTGGCCCAGCTCCATCCCCAGCCACACCTCTTGTCGTTGGCTAAGGTGCCCTCATTGTCGAAACACAGCAGCCGGGTCCGCGCGTTGCGGAAAGCCTGCAGAACTGCCTCGGTGTTGATCAACCGGGGATTTGATGGGAACCATTCGGTATAAATTGCCGATGCACTCGAATTTAGGGATGGGATATTTATGGGAGTTGGAGGTTGTGTATAAAGGAGTAATAACAATTCACACATAGCAAACAAAATATATAGTATAAGTATTCTTTTTTGCCATGTGTGATGCGACAAAATGAGAAATGTTAGGAGATACTGCCTGGTCCGTCTGCAGTTCCCATGCGCCCACTGGGCTCGCAGCGTTGATTGGCAGCTTCTGGAAATTGGAACCGATCTGAGAGGTGACGAAGAGAGAGGGACGACCATCCCAATTCTCCGTGATTCAAACCTCCTTCAAACAGGGTGTGAACTGGACATAACTCAGAGAGCCCCCAAAAAATGTCAATGTGACAAAATTATCCTGGATAATCAATTGATTCACATACTGCAAAGCATACTGTTGGCTGAACCTGTTTGGATATCGAAATTCCTCAAAGTGGTTCTGACTATTCCTATTGTTTGATCATCTTGATATATCATAATTAATTTCTTAATGCCTTACCTTAGGTAGAAATCAATCCTTACTATCCAGCAAACATTTTAGACATGAGTGGTACGCTACGACAGCTGGGTCTGAATTTTTTGATCCAGTTTTTCTTTATTGAAACCCTGTGCTTCGTTGGTCCCCCTTTGCTGTTGCTGAAATACCCCAAAACAATCTGGATGAAAAATCCCGATTCTTGTTCTCAAATCCGTTAAATCACTCAATTTTCACCCAGTAAAATTCAGTAAAATCCCCCTTTTCGATCCAACTTGTCTGAAGGACCTCCAGCATTTGACCCAGGGCCAGACGCTCATAGCTCCGCTAAGGATCCGTGCGGCCACTTGCCTCATCTTGGCCCCAAAGCCGATGGATTCCTCAGATGCTCCGGTCGTTGGGATGGGGATCTCGATTTTCTCCAGCCGTGGGAATTGACCATCTGGTTATAACTAACATAGCCATGGAAAATCACCATTTTTAAGTTCGGTAAACCATCTATTTCTACGGGCCATTTTCCATGGCTATGTTAAATAACCAGAGGGTAATATGTTTTAACCAACCAGTTTACAGGAACATAGTGGGAACGTGGGAATACTGGTTGGTGGTTGACCTACCCCTCTGAAAAATATGAATGCGTCAGTTGGGATTATGACATTCCCAACTGAATGGAAAAATAAAAATGTTCCAAACCACCAACCAGATCATATATATTGAACGCAGCGAGGAGAAAAAATCACCATGTTTAATACAAGCAAGACTTTGGGAACGTGCACCACCCAATTTTTCAGATGTTACACGGCACAGGACTAGTTTGTTTTTCCAGGTCCTTAGTATTCCAGATGGTGTTCTGACACGTAGCCAGCATCACCCAGTCACCAATGGAATCAACCCCCTAAGGGGACTTCTTCACCAGGGCGATTCCCCCAAGAGTTCGTGGAGACTTAGGAGAATCTTGGCGATTCCGAAATTGGAAAATCCAAATTGTAATATGCTAAAGTTACTAAAGCATACTAAAACTATAGAAATCCTGGTTTAGTATTATGGACTTATTCATGCAAAGGGAAATCATGATAAGTCTTCAACAATCCAATCCCCCTAACATTCATCTCGTAAGGGACCCTTTTGCATGAATATTAGTGGTATTTCCCAGTTAATTTACCATTTAAGGTTAGTTGACATAGCTATGGAGAATGGCTCATTGTTTATTGACTTCGATGATTTATGATGATTTACCCGTCGCTGCCACTGTCGGGTTGGGGACCATTTTTTTGGATCCTTGGATTTGCTATACGATTTTACCTTGCAACATTGGCAAAAAAAGGGGGAGTTGGGGTATCTAATTGTCGCGAACATGAACTAAATCATCCTTTAATCTATATGGCCATTACCCTCTGGTAAACAGCCACATAGCTATTGAAAATTGTCATAGAAACAGTGGATTTACCCAGCTATAAAATGGTGGATCTTTCCATCGTTTTTTGGGACTGTTTACCAGGCCGGGTATATGACATCAGTGCGGTTGACTGTCATGACATCATTTCAGACGGCAAGCCAATATTTTGGACGAGTACTTGGACGAAAGCGGGGCGTCCGAATAAAAACATGGCCATTCCGCAAGAAGTTGAGGAAATTCTATGGCCATTCCGCATGAATACCCTCTGGTTATGACTAACAGTTTGCCATGGTATAAATGGCCCCATAGAAATAGATGGATATAGATGGTTTACCAAACTTAAAAATGAGGATCTTTCCAGTTCGCTACGTTAGTGATAACCACAGGGTAATTTGATCAGTTGGAACTTGAAGCTAAAGTAGCAGTATGTTCTGCATGTTCATCCCGTCCCTGCAGTTGACTAGCAAATTCGATCTTCTCCCACATCATGGCAATGACACATCAAACATGTGAATGGCACTAGGTTTTATCCTGAAAATATATAGCACTCCCAAAAATTTGATGGTGTAAAACAGCATTATCATCCATTATTAGATGGTAAAACACCATTCTCATCCATTATCCATGAGTCCTTACCAAAATTGCCAAGCGTTTGGGTAGAACATACCATTGGACACCGAGAGACCAGTCGGACATCGTCGCGCTTCCGTGCGCGTCGCAGATCGGTCAAAAAATCCTGATCAGAAGGGAAGGGGGTTCCTGGTGGTTTCCTGCCCATGGTTGGCATCTACTGTGAAAAAAAACATGATTTACCATGATTTACCATGATTTACCACCATTTTTTGGAGTGATCTGGTCCATAGGCACTTGACTACTTGACTTACAAACTCTTACGCTTACTCAAATTTGGATTCATTTGGTCACTTGATATCATTTGACGTCGGTCATGCATTCTCATGAGCCACCAGTTGAAGTGTCCCAATTTGATGTCCTGTTACTCTGGTGAGTTTGACCTTCCTGTTGGTTTCAAGTCTTCGTACAGCCGAAGAATCTTGATGTATCAAAGATGATGGAACATCCTGGTTGGTGGAATCTAAATCTCCTTTTCTTCCGCCATGTTTCTGCTTACACCTGCAACGCCGCACATATGTTCCCTGGCCTCGAACCAATCCATCTGCGACTGCTGCGCCACATGCTGCAGGTTGCACCTCAGGATCAAAGTTTGGAAGGCCAGCTTCGTCTGGCAAAGCACCAACCAGTCATCGATGGGCCGAAAAGTGAACATGTTAGACATCCACTCCCAAGGTGCCATTTATATAATATATATATATTAAGGTTTCGGCTGACAGCAGGGTGCCCTCTCGACTGTTCAGTTCCGTGACCCTAGCGATCCTTTCGCGGTTTTGGTGGGCTTTGGATCGCGGGCGCTGTGGATTCTTTCGCAGCTGCCTACTTGCTCATCTATTTGGACAAGTCTGTTTTCTTCCTCTTCAACGTTCGGGACATTGTCATCTTCCCTAAGGTTTTTTCCTTGGGACGGGTTCATCTGGTGCACTGCCTAAAACCAGATTAAAGCATTATTTGGCAACTATAACATTGGATTGATCTCTGCAAGCGCGGGGCTTGCACACTGATCTCTGGTGGTATTTGCTTCAATTTATGCTTCTTTTGATTTTTCTGGCGCTTGCTCATTTGACTTTCGCCCAGAATTACAGCTGCTCTTCGGCGGCGTCAACGCCGTCTGCGGGCGAAGGCCCGCTTGGATTGGCATTTGCACCGCCGTGGCTTTCGTCGGCTTACGGTGGACAAGATCAAGCAGCTGATTGCTACCTTACGGAGACATCATTCACGGGACCCAGGTCTTATTGCCCGTCTACGTGCAGAGATGGACAAGCCGGACCCTTGGAGATGCAGATTTTGTATGCGCCTGGTCAAGGGCAGATCGGGACAATGTGGAGGTTGCTGGAGATACTGGTCACAATGCAACGATTCGAGCTATGTGCATCAGCAGCCAAGGCAATCCCAACATCAACATGGAGGTGCATATACAGCAGGCTGGCAAGAATGGCACGACCATCAATGGCAAGATGCAGGTCCGTGGGCTTCTGGAAGAGCCAAGTCCCCACGGAAACGCACTCAAAGCCCAAGGAAACGTGTGCAAAATCAGTTGCACCAAAGTTCCAAGGGAGATGTGAGCAAAGGAAAAGGCAAGGGTTCCAACAAGGGCTTTGCTGGTCCTCCTTCCACCCAATGGCTTACACCGCCCTCATTGCCAGCTTCTATGGTGCCTTCAACGACGGAGGCTTCCTCAGTGAATGCCCCAACAGCATCAATGCCCTCAATGCAGCCTTTCCCCAAGCCTGCGATCAGCAAGGACGAGCAGGAACTGCATTCGCTGCGGCACATGTACAAGGAAATCAAAAACAAGTCCAATTTGCCGGAGGACATCAAGAAGGTGGTCCAGAAGCGACAGTCAGAAAGGTAGACGCCAAGACCCACAGCCAGTTGGTGTCACAGTTGAACAACATGCGAAATAAGCTCTCAGAGATCGACGAACAATGGGAATCTTATCGCCAACAATGGGCAGATTATCTCGACAAAGCCACTCAAATGTGGATGTCACATGTGGAGGAGTTCGAGAAAGGAGAGGCCCGGTTTGCAGAAAGGCGTGGAGAAGCGCTTCGCAATCTTCAAACCACAAGGGAAGCTCTCCACGACGCTCATCAGAGGACGATGGGACAAGATGTCCTCGCATCGAACGACATAGATTCAGCTCAGGAAGCTTTGGATGCTACTATGACTGTGGGCGAGAACGACTCCACAGGGATGCAGACAAGCTTTGCCCAGATCAAAGAGAACCTCAATGGTGTGGTGCAGCAGGTTCGCAACACTATCGAGGAGAAGATCAAGAAGCGAGAGCGCTCAAGATCACGTGGACATCAGGGCGATGGCAGTGGAGATCCTCCAGATGTCGAAGTTGTGGAACCCGCAGACAAAAAGGTTCGGGATTCCAATTAGCCCCATGTCTCCTAGCGTCGCTTGGCGAGGTCTTTCCAGAGTGTGTTACATCTGGGAGAAGAGACACGGGGCGGAAGAAAGACCGGTTTTGCAAAGTTTCCTTTTGGCCCATCATTGACTATGAGGGAGTTGTCACTGCTGAGCCTTGTTCCCTTTGCAATTTCTGGTCGGAATCTGATGATTTTCATCGTGATCGTCAGAGACATCCTTTTCCTTATTGCCATTCAATTTTCGAAGAACCTGATTTTCACAGTGTTTGGGAAGCGCGAGATTCAGCACTCCTATTACAAGAATCGCTGCAATCGACAGCCTTTGATGTCCAATTCGACACTACGAGAAAGACTTGGACAATGGACACCTCGTCGGTAGTCCTTGGAATGACTGACGGTGCATTTCCATCAGTCATGCAATCACGAATCAATGATGCTTGGCATGATGTTCCATCGAGCTGGCCGACATCAGATGGACCACCTCATGAACAAGATCCAAATGAAAATCCATTCTTCTTGCATGAGGCTCCAGATACCATCCAAGACCTCTACAATGAGTTCCTCAACAATGGCCTTGTGGATGGGCCCAGCCTGGCGGATGCTATACATTTGCGATCTTGGTATATTCACCATGTGCATCATAGTCAATGTCTAACTTCAAGGATTCTTGAACTGGACGGTCACTGGAGCACATGGGCGAGAGACTTGGCTGCCGGTTGGGCAGACCTTGTCAGACCGGATGAAGGCCTTGCTTTCTTCGTTTGTCATCCTGATCCTCCACGCGCCAATGGTCATTATGAGCTCTATTTTGATCTGCTTTTGGTACAGGGCATGGATTTCCCAGCTTGGGCTGGTTTGATCACTGTTCTTCGGGCGGAGGACCTCATGGACAGGGCTGATTTTGCACTCGCAGCCTCTTTGCCCAGATATGTCAGCGGACAACACCTTGCTGCCCAAGCCAATCAGATTCAACAATGCCATTTGCGCGGTTGCAGGATCAGCTATGGACGCCAATTGATCCCCTTCAACTTTGACCCGGTCCACGAGATGACAAATGGAGATTCTTTTCTCATCAAGCCCGAGAGGAGCCGTCCAATTGGGTCTATGCAAAATGACGGACAGCAGGCAGACAATCAACTGGATTATGAGGATGAAGCACAAGAACATGATCTTCAACATGACAGAGCTTCAGACAGCAGGTCCCAGTCCTCTGCTGGCACCTGGTCTCAAGCGGTGCACATTTATCGCCTTGGGCATCTTGCGATTTTTGGTCACCTTGACTGGAGCTCCTATCACACTGCCCTTCGAGATGCGGTGCAGATTTCACGCATTCCCAGAAATTCCTGCGTTGGTTTTCAGTATGTGCAGGTGCGACTGCCCGGTCAGCAAGTTGGGGAAGAAGCCATTATCTTGCAACACATTGATGACATTGCGACAGGATCCCTGGAAAAGTTGGTGATCATTGACATTGTCTTCCACACCAACACCTTGTCGCGTGGAGTCCCTGACAGAGCCAACACAGTTAGGGAAGTTTACAAAGTGCAACATCTCATGGCTCGCAGTCACCTTTTGGCGCTGACACATGTGGATGCTTATTGCACTTGGAGGCAGGACCAATGCATAGTTCGTTACAATGATCAACTTTGGGCACCGGGTGATCCTCGACTGTTGCCAATTGATCATGGAGCCTTTTTTCAGATTCAACTGCCACCGCCCCCAAATCCGGATTGGGATATCGGCTTGGCTGTCAGAACGATTCAGGAAACTGGCGATATCCTTGACTTCCCGGAAGCTGGTCAGCTTGCCACCGCCATCTTGGATGGGAGCATTGATGGCAACCGTAGGGCTTTTGGTGATGGTTCTGTTGATGGAGCAAGACTTGTCACTTGCAAGTGCAATGAGGATGATGCAGAGATTCCGGAGGACATCGACATCCCCATGACGCTCCCACCAGGGACGAGCCTGCGTGGGCCTCGCCCCTCTCATGATGGTGCTCTTGACTGGCTTGAAGATTTGGTTGCAGTTTTTCGACAGGAGGCAGAAGCGGAAACGATTGATGGAAGTCCTCTTCTTTATGTGCCAACATGGTACATCCACCACCGTCGCCACAAACGCTGCCAATATCCTCGCTCAGTGAGATTGGATGGCGCCATCATTGGATGGATTGAAGAGCTGCGACATGCTTGGAGTGATGTTATGGACAGAGGCTTGCCTTTCGCTATTCATGTCGTCAAACCGAGGCCACCCCAACCAAGATGGCAATCATTTGCATGCCACATCATCCTGGTTCAATCTCCACAACCTCATTTGGTTGCGGGAGTTGTCACTACACTTCTGGAAGGTCCTGATCGTGATGCCATCATGCAAGCGGCTGCTTCTTTTCCTGACTTAGTGAACAAGCCAGTTGTCATTGAAGCAGTGCAGCTGCAACCACAATGTGATCTCCGTAGATGCTCGGTGACTGCGGGTGGGCTGCCTGTTCATCTGATATTGCAATCAGAGCTTCACAATGGTTTCAACGTTTGCATCAGAGTGGCCTCTGCCCTGGGGCTTGAGCAACGACCACATCAACCCGGGTCTGCACCAGATCCCATTGAGCACTTTGATGATGTTGTCTTTATGCAAAGAAGCCGGAGCACTCCAGTGATTGCGAGTTCTTCAAGTGCACCAGGAACCAATTGCCCGGAGCCCTTTGTTTTCAACCCGAATGCCCATATATTTGTTCCGGGACACATCCCGATTGAAGGAATGGATGAATTTACACAAGACCTCCACCGGATATGGCTTGAAGAGTCATTCAGCTGGGAAGGTGAAACACCAACTTGTCTCTTCACCACGTGGATGGTAGATCACTCTGGAGCTTTTCGACACTGCACACGACCAAGAGACATACGCCTTGGTCCGGACTTTGCAGCTTGGGAAACCCAGATCAGACGAGTTTGGGCGGATGAACTTGTGGGCAATCCTTTGCTTGAATATCACATTGTCAGCCCCACTCCACCGAGATTGGAGCGTCAGGTGGCTGGTCACATCATTATTATTCAGCATGCAGATGAAGCACTTGTCACGAGCCTGGTCTCAGTCATTGACAGGACGCTGCGTGGACAAAATGGAAGAGTTCAACGAATGGCAATCACCACTCCTGAGCACATCCTTCTTGACACCCTTTTGGACGTGACGGGATATGCACAAGCATGTATCCCTGCCAACTCTCCTAGAGTCTGCAGAGCTTGGTATTTTGATGAAAGTCTTCGACTGCATCGCCCACTTCCGGGTCGCAGTGGATATGGCATCACTATCAATATCCACTTGCGGACCAGGCCAGGCCCAGAGGCTACCAATCTCTTGCAAGTTTCTGCAGTCACTTCATCAGGGCCCGCTGATGCCATCGAGGGTGAGCGCCTAACACAGGGGCAGGTGGCTCACACCCCTGGGCCACCCCAGGTCCTGCAGCTGGAGTCACTCCTCTGCGCAGAAGGACATCCTGCTGCACATCCTTTGAGAGTGATCAGAGGCCATGATGACATTCCCCCTTTGCCGACCTTCATTGAAGTTGGCAAGCCAATTACGCCGGAATCGGTTCAACAGGAACTGCAATGCTATGGTCATGACTGTGCAATTGAGCTTCTTGGAGAGGGATCTTTGGCCATGTGTTTTCCCAGGTCTTTGGCAAGAACTCATGTGGAACACTCCCACTTTGTCTTCATTGAAACGCAAGACTTTGCGCCTTCGATTGATCCCGTCTTCCATTTGCATTCAGACTCCTCACTGAAGAAGGACGATTACCTTGGTATGATGCGTTTCCTTTACCAGATGGGGCATGAGAAAGCTGTCATTCTTGCAACTATTCAGCATTGCCACAACCTGACTGAAGTGCAGTTTACAGTCTCGGTTGGCACCATGGAAAACAAAGCGCAGTTGCCAAAACGCCCTTCTTCATGGCCACCTCGACAACCCACTGGGGCAGTGGGTAAGATGTATGATCCTCCAGCAACACAAGAGAGTCCGGAGTGTCTTTTGGATTTGGGAGCGACCAGCGATCAATTGCTTTCATTTTTTGAGCACTCCAACTTTTCTGATCTTTGCACAATCACAGAAGGCATGGACTTACCAGCCACCACGGCGGAAGCCATCACCTTGTTACAACCGTTGGAGCATTATGACCGGCTCATCATCTATACTGATGGCTCCTCACATTCAGCCCATTTGCGTTTGGCACCAGAGCTTGTGGAAGAGCACCACATCCCTGATGCCTGGTCTTTCGTGGTGCTAGGTGAACAGTATGAAGAGTCTGGCAATCATCTTGCCCTCATTGGATGGTGTGCGCATCAAGTGAGATGTTCCATTGATAGCCCCTGGCATCTTGGTTCACGGACTGTAGGTTCATGGGTGGCTGAACGTGAAGCGCTGCTTTGGGCCTTTCTTTGGAGAATCGGCTTGAATAGCCGCATTCCGACAACGTTCAGGTCGGACTCGGCCATGACGATTGGGCAGTCATGTGGCACACTGGGAGCCCAACAGCATGATGAAACGTTCGAATTGCTCAGAGGATGTCATCAACTTTTGGAAGCGGCACTTCCTGAAGATTGTCTGCGGGTTGAGCACGTTTTTGGGCACAACGCAGACCCATGGAATGACTTTGCAGATCACTTGGCGAAAAGTGAAGCCAAGGCTGGTTTCATGCTTCCACGAGGAGATCTCGATGTCCAATTTTGGCGTCCTTTGCTGCCTTATTTGTGGATGCTTTTTGGGTATCAATATGGAATGCCTGAACATTGTGACCGGGGCCTGATCATTCCGGCACCGTCATTACCAGCTCCGCATGTGCCCAGTCACAATTCACAGCAGGCGGCAATTGTTGACATTCATTTGACTCTCAGCTTTGCGACGGCCAATGTTTTGTCTCTTTCCACTCGCCCTGACGGACACGCGGGCAAAGTGAACTACCTTCGAGAGCAATTCACTTGCCAAGGACTCAACTTCCTTGGTTTGCAAGAGACGAGAAGTGCTGCAGGGGCTTCGCTGGTACACCATGTTTACCGACTTTGCTCAGGAAGCAATAAAGGCCATCATGGGGTTGAATTGTGGTGCAACCTGAAGCAGCCGTATGGATACATTCAAGGTAGACCTCAATATCTGCACAAAAGTGACTTTGCCGTTGTCTACAATGATGACACCAGGCTGATCACGAAGATTGATGCGAGTCTACATCAATTTTGGGTCATGGTTTTTCATGCACCGCAAAGTGGACAACCACAACGCCTACGAGAAAAATGGTGGGAAGCGACACATCAACTTCTTGTGGATCATCAAGTTCAAACTGATCAACTTTATGTCTGTGCTGACGCAAATGCAGCACCTGGTCCTGGTGATGGACGTCATGTTTTTGAGGAGACCTTCTCTACATCGACATCCACTCCTTTGCTACAGACTTTTTTGTCCACATTTGATTTGTGCCTGCCCTCTACGAGCGCGATTCACAGTGGTCCAAGACACACGTGGGTTCGACCGGATGGTTCGACCTCGCATCTCATTGACTATGTCATGGTGCCAGCTGCACATTTTCAGGCTTGTTCACATTCGCAGCTTCTGGAAAATTTTGACTCGGCCAACCTGAATACAGATCACACTGCGACAGGTGTTGAACTTTCATGGTGGACCACAGTGCAGAAATGTGAAGCCTCTCAAGATGATGGTGGCCTGCGTTATGACAGAAACAAAATCAAAGATGGCAATCTCAACCAGATGCTGAACAACTATCGTGTTGCGTCCTGGTCTACTGATGTGGAGACACAGACCCATGACCTCACCAAACATATTCATGCCACACTTCAAACAGGATGCCGACGTGATCCTTCTCAGCCAAAAAAGGAATATGTTAGCTCTTTTGCGTGGGAGCTGCGACGGCAGAAGCTTTTCCATCGCAAGCAGCTGAAGACAGTGAAAGCTCTTTTGGCACGTGAAACCACTGCACGGATCTTCTATGCATGGAAAGGGGAGAAGGGAGACCTTTGTCAGTCTTCCTTTGCCTATGGCTCCACATTGAGATGCGGGCTCTTCAAACACTATGCGGGCTTTCGTGTGACTTCATGGGGTTTGAAGAAGCATCTGGAAAAGGACAAGGCCTTCAAGATTGCTGAAGTTGTAGCCTCTTTCGATGCAACTACGGCAGCCTCTGAGATCCAGCACAAGATGAAGGGCTTCATGGGCAGCACAAACAAGCTACGACAGGGATTAGCCCCTCTGCCTGCGGTGCGCTCCCAAAATGGTGCTACATGCGCGTCTGCCCCGGCAGTATTGAATCGATGGATTCAATTCTTTGCTGACATGGAGGGAGGCACCCGTGTGACACAGAAGGAATTGCATGATGCCTGGGTGCAATCTTTGGAAGACATGAGCATGTCGACATGCCAAATCACGATTGCAGATATTCCTAGCCTATGCCAACTGGAAGCTGCGTGCAGAAGAGTCAAGGCTGGCAAGGCGGACGGACCAGATCGCATTCCGTCAGAAGTTTGCAAATTTTACCCCAAGGAGACCGCCAAGTTGCTGTATGGCCTCTTGCTCAAGCTGGTCACCCATGGTCATGAACCGCTGATCCACAAAGGGGGCACAGTTGTGCCCATATGGAAGGGGAAGTTGGCCAAGGATACTTGTGAGGCATTTCGCTCAATCCTTCTTTCATCCAATCTTGGCAAAGTGATCCATCGGACACTGCGGGTCCATCAGCGCAGTATGTATGAATCCTTCCTTCATGCTCAACAACTGGGAGGACGGCAAAAAGTTCCTGTTACCTTGGGAGCCCAGCAGCAGTGGTTTTGCCTGTACTGGTCGAAGAACGCGCCGGCAGCAGCGCAAGAACAGCACAGGGAGGCAGCGCCAGAGCGCTGCGACACCACCCTAAGAAAACGAGACGGGTACCTAAGTAGGTTTCAAGAAGCAACCTTAGCCCAACAGGGAGACACGACCCACCAGCAGTCACAAACCAGATCATCCATCCCCTTTGGGGTACCTAAGGGACCAAATGGTCTGAACCACTTTTCCCATCCAAACGGCATGTTCAGAAGAACACCCCATTTTCCACCATCCGAAACGTTTAAGGATGGGGTCATTCGCCACCAGGTTGCTGGGTCTAAGTTCACATTCCCAGCATATATGGTCCCAGTTCCCAAGACCACCACAGTTCCAGATACAAGAGGTATCAAAAGGACCTCCGTTCTGAAAGCAAGCAGGGCTGCACGCCGCACCAAGAAGCACCGTACGAAAGGAAGAGTTGACATCCAACAACTTTCTCATACCTTTAAAATCGAATTGTAAGAAATCCTGAATGGTATAATCAAAGTCCAGATTGTCATGTCTGTCCTGGTCAAGAAATTTAACAAACATGAACCACCTCCATCCATCCCGAAGTCTATGTTGCAACTCCGAAACCCAGTCCACATCCGGCAGCCTAAGGTCAATTTTACAAAAAGAACCTTGGATAGCCCAAACCCAGGGCTGTTGAACTTGCCAGCCCTTATCATCCATCCACTGTTTAAAGGCATCCAAAGGACTGCCACGTTTAGCATCCCATTCCAACTGGAAGTGGTGTTTCAAGTAATGAACAACCCTAACCAGATTAACTCCAACCAAACAATCAACATGAGTCAAACCCCCAACCAAGATACTACGCAGATACTTCGAAGCTCTGTACAAGGATCTCTGGCCTCTACGCAGGGCCGCACAGACCCGATCCGCACTACGCTGAGTAGGAACTCTGCTGATCCATCCATAGACACACTGACTAATGCCATAGGCACGAGCAGTGTCGTGAAACCTAAGGTAACCAAGCCGGAGGGTGGAAAGAAGATGGATAGTACGGACAGCAGCATCCAACCTACTTTGCTCTTTGGCAGATTCCCTACGACGGGTGAGAGCAGCAGTCACCCCAAGGATTTCCCATTGGTCAGTGACCAGGGCGGCATCCACTCCGGCATCCCGAAGGTCATTGGAATGACGCTGAGAAGAACCAACAAACTGAGTTTTGCCCGGATGCTCCAACAGGCCAACCTGATGACTCCAATCGCCCCACAACCTCCTTTTTTCCAACAGACCTTCCGGAGTTTTCGCACTGAAGGATCTATCATCCATGAAAATACGGGTAATGCCATTCCGTAAATCAGGAGTGAGATTCTCATGCACGAAGCCATTGCCAGCGGCCATCCAGAGTTGGAGGGCAAGAGGCCCCCACGGATCCCCTTGGGGAGTAGCTTCAGTGGCTTGAAGCTTGTCAGTCATGACACATCCACCCCACAGGATCCACCTGGACTGTTGAGTCCAAACCATACTAAGGGTGTTGACCCAGGAGTCAGGCAGGCCAGCAGCTTGCAACAGACTAACAGTACCCCGCGGATCCAAAGAATCATAACACTTGGTAAAATCAAGAGTACAACCATAACCATCGACACTGACTCCATGGAGGACGGAAGCAGCCGCGATTTGTGCTTCAGCCTTTGGCCCGCACCCAGAGATCACTTACCTTGGGAGCCCATCAGACGAGGGCCTTTCTGCGTTGGCAACGGGAGCAAGGACACTCTACTGCGATCCTATTTGTGGACTTACAAGAAGCATTCTATCGAGTCCTCAGACAGCTGGCTATGCCGGGGGATTTCACGGACCTTGAGTTGGCACAGCTTGCTTCGAGATTGGGTTTGGAATCTGATGTTCTACATGATTTGTGGTCGTTTTTGCAAGAACCACATGCCCTTGAGCGCGCAAGTCTTCCGGCTTCGGCTCAGCGGGCTATCCAAGCGCTCCACTCCAACACTCACTTTCAGCTGCCCAACCAGAAGGATTTTGTGTCCACATCAATGGGTACTAGGCCCGGCGATGCATATGCTGATGTGGTGTTTGGATTTCTACTCGCAAGAGTTCTCAAGGTTTTTGAGGAGGCCTTAGTAAGAGCGGATGTTCTTTCTGAAGTTCCCACTCAAGATGGGCCGGCTTTCTTCAATCTGGAGGTGTCCCAGGCAAAAACTTCTCAGCGCTTCCTTGGCCCGGTTTGGATGGATGACATGGCCCTCTGCCTTTGGGGAGCAAGCAACGAGGGGCTGCGCCGCAAGATTGGAGTGGCATCTAGTCTGCTCCTTGACCTCTTTCGAGGACATGCCATGACGCCTAACTTGCGCCCTGGGAAAACGGAGCTCATGATTAGTCCGAAAGGACATGGGACAAGGGAGTGGCGCAAAGAGATGTTTGGGCCTCTATCCAATGAGCATTTTACGGCAGTTGGCGAATATGGACCTTATCACATTCATCTCGTGACCAAGTATGTGCACTTGGGAGGCGTCTTGCACCATTCTGGAGAAGTTCGATTGGAACTGAGCAGACGGGTTGCTTTGGCGCATCAGGCTTTCAGCAAGCATCGCAAGCTGATTTACCAAAACCGTGCGCTATCTCTGGGCAAGCGCATGGAGATCTTCAGAAGCTTGATGCTGAGTCGCCTCCTTTACGGGTCTGACTCTTGGGTCTTGCACGATATCCTCACCAAGCACCGTGCACATGTCGCCATCATGAAGCTCTACAGACGGCTGCTGGGATGCGCCCATGAGGAAGCCATATCAGATGATGAGGTGCTCTTCCGTTTGGGCATGCCATCGCACACGGTACTTCTACGTCTTGCTCGACTTCGATACATTGGATCTCTTTGCAGCATTGGCACCACTGCCTGCTGGGGCCTGCTCAACGAGGATTGCAAATGGAAACAGTTGGTGGAAGACGATTTTGCATGGCTTTGGCGCAACTTGTCCAACACCTGCAAATTGGGTGACCCGGCGCTCCACATGAGCCGTTGGTTTGAAATTTTGGTCTGGCACCGCAGTTATTGGAGAAGTTTGCTTCGACGAGCCGAAAAACATGCTATCCAACAACATGCCTTGAAGTTTCAATGCACCCAATTTCACCTGAAGATTCGTGACCTTCTTGTGGGAAATGGATTTTGGTCCTCGCCTATTGCATGTGCTCCAGAAGATGATTGCGATCGTTGTTTTGGATGCATGCATTGCCAGATTCGCCTGAAAACCAAGGGCGGAGAGGGAGCTCACATGTGTCGAGCACACAATAAAGTCAACCCGATCCGCTACTACATATCAGGGACGCAATGCATGGCGTGTCTCAGGGAGTATCACACGGTGGGTCAGATTCAGGCTCATCTTCTTCGAAGCGAAGAGTGCCGAGCCTACCTCCTACAACATCGCCTACGAGGACACGCACTTCCTGGCATCGGTTCCAAGGAAGATGTGGAGAGGCAGCAAAGCATGGACGGCAAGCTACCGCCCTTACAGGCGAGTGGCCCGCTGAAGCCTCAACGTGGTGGATTAGACCTCTCGCGGGTCGATTGGGATCTACACGATGAACTGGCGTTGGCTATCCTTGATGCCCAACAGCAGACTGAAGCGGTGAACCTGATGAGTCGCTTGAAACAGTCAATTCTTCAGCATGAGATTGCCTGGACCTATTGCAAGGTCACTCTTGGTGAACTTTTACAGACAGTCCAGGATGAACCACATGGATGGGATCTACTTCATAAAGAACATGTGATTGCGACCATTCGTGCTTTGTCTATGCAGGAGACGTGGCCTTTTTTGACAAGACCTTGCACTCCCTCCAGTTTGTCTACGCCATCTTTGGAAGACCTTGAGAAGGAGTGTGCGACTGGCTTGATCAATTGCCCTGAGGCTGAAGGTCACAGGATTCCCCGTCCATGTGGCAGACACCAGATTGTTTTACATGCCTTCAGTGGGAGGCGACGACGAGGGGACCTTCAATTTTACATGGAGGAGATCTTTGACCGATTCTCTGAGGGAGTGCACCTCACTGTCGTCTCACTCGACATCATGGTTGATCGCATCCATGGAGACGTTACTTCGGAGCAGACACAGCAGTTTTGGTTCTCCCATGCTTCGAGTGGTGAGGTTGCAGCATTCCTTTGTGGTCCACCATGTGAGACATGGAGCAAGGCGCGTTTTGCCAACTCAGCTCACCAAGCTCATGGACCCAGACCTGTCCGATCTGCTCAGGAGTTGTGGGGCCTTTCGTCACTCAGCCTACGTGAACTTGCGCAGGTGACCGTGGGCAATCATCTTTTATGCTTTTCGCTGGAGATGTTGTTTCGTTTGGCGATTGTGGGTGCCCTGGGAGTGCTGGAACACCCGGAAATGCCGGATGATGAGCACATGCCATCCATTTGGCGCCTGGATGTGATGAATTGGCTTCACCAAATGCCGGGCGTGCAGTCCTTCAGTTTCAGTCAGGGTCTTCTAGGAGCACCTTCGCCGAAACCGACGCGTCTCCTCGTCCTCAACATGGACGGCCTTATGAGCGAGCTCCGAAGACACCATCTTTGTGCTGACCTGCCGCGCAGATCGGCCATCGGCAAAGATGCCGATGGCTTTTGGAAGACAGGAGTGCTCAAAGAGTACCCGCCGGCAATGAGTCGAGCTCTTGCCATCCAATTTTGCCGATCACTGTCAGCTTGCCCTTTCGATGCATCGGTGCAACTCAGTGAATCCTTTGTACAGCAATGCAAGGCCATGGACGTCAAAGTATATGGCCAAACCATCGGGCAGGACTTCGCACATTAGCTTCTGCCGGTGGGAATTCGTATGCGTGCCGCACCGAAAGGGATCCGTGAGCATGTGTCAAAAAAAATATATATTATAAAACCATATATATATAATATTATATAATTGGGTTTCAACATGTTGCAACTCAGCTACTTGATGTGGGAGAACCCTAACGGCACATAATTACAAACCATTACAAACCCAACAATTTACGCAAATATAATTTAATCGACAAGCATGGGAATACGACCTAGAATGAACTATTGAAAACGGATGAAAAGGCAATGTTAATGTTACTGGGAGTGTTCATGTAGCCCTAGCCATTGCCTAGCCCCTGGGAAGAAAGAACCTGGCTGCGGTATGATCTCCCCAGCTTTTCTGTTTGTGGTTGAGCCGCCCTGGAAAATCAGATCGCCACTTGTGATCATTATCATTTTTCAGATTGAAACCACCACGCAAACAATCATGGGCTCTATATATATATATACACGTATATATATAATTACATATAAATATCAGGCTATATCATGTTATATCCCTAGTGTATCCCCATTATGTCCCCATTATTTCCCATTTATATCACCATCTCTCCTACAATCCACCCATAAATCATTGGTAAATCGTACCCAAGCTCAGCTCCCAACAAGCCTAGTCCCCAACGGGGCCTGTCTCTGAAGCCATTTTCAACACCAAACCTATAGTTTAATTCTTGACTTTCCATTCACTTTGGGTAAATTCACGCATGATTAAGGAGTTGCCAAAAGATGAACCCATTTCTTCTCGGTTTGAGAATATAATGTACGTAGGTCAAAACATGAAACCACCATGATCCAGTTCTCCCCAAAGAACTGGTCCACTCTCAGCAGACCGCTGGGTGCTCCCAGCTGGAAGCGGTCTTTCTTCTCATCTTCACCCTCGGTACAGGGGACGCTGCAGTGAATATTGCAGGTGTATCCACGATATCCCTTCCCTCTAGTATTGAGTAGCCCAAACTGGAAACTACCGTTGAGTATTGGATCATTTTGAAAAGCCATATCATATGGGCTGTTACTGTACCATTTTCTGTACCTAATATTGGGGGAAAGATGGGGGAAGTGATTCTTCTCGTTCGTACTTTGGTTCAGAAACACCCCTTTTCCTTGACGGGTGTGGGGTGGCTGGGGTTAAGGGTTTGCTTCAAGTTTGAGAATCAAACCCGCATTGCCATTGACAACAGTATCAATGCAGTCAGTTGGCTGTGGTTCAAAACTCTGCTAACCTGATCACTATTCAAATAGCTGGTGAATGGATGTTCACTGTATCAACATGTATTTGTCTTCGTCTTGAGCTCTCCAAGTTTCCCAGGTTCCTAATCGCCACCATAGTTTCGGAAACCGGCGCAACAGAGTTGTAAAGTGAAAGATATGACGGTTTGCCAAAATGTCTTTTCCTGGTTTTGTTGATAAATCGTAATTCCTTGCGTGCCGCTTCTTATTGTGCCTTTAAAACCATGACTGATCTAAATAGTCTGAAACCCTGCATTTTATCTTTCATGTTTGAAGCCGTAGCTAAAACCTGCAGTAAGTGCTAACGCGCGTGTATATGAAGTGGGTGCCGCTGCTAGTTGTTGGTGGTGGAACTGCAATATCTGCAGAGCTGGTCGTCGCCTTTGCTGTCACTGTTGCTTCGTCAAACAGACAGGATAAACTACAAGTTCTCTGGTGGCGACTGGGTCACGGGTCAACCAAAGCCGCTTTTTGAAACTTTTGCCAGCGCATTGCTAGCGGGGATCTAGCAGGTAAAATTACGTACAAATTCGCAAAGTTGAGCCGCAACCTCAAAAATATAGGAAAATTGTTGGGTAGCACAGAAATTCACTAAGACACCCTTAGGTTTAAGGAGCTAAGTGTTACATCTTGACTTTTCTTCATGGTGAAATAACAAGCAAACAGTAACACACAAAATATCCTTGAACATGGGTGTGAAAAACAAACTAGCGCAAACCTAGCGGGTTTGCTAGCGCTGCCTTGCAGAATTGGTGAATTTAGTTGCGTGCCGCCTCATAACGAAGAGGAAAAACAACTAGGTCCACACTAATTATCAACAACTAATAGTACAAAACTTCTGTCAACTATTTTTGGCAAATCGTCATATGCCAACATCTATTGACCCAAGAATACTCAACTTCAAGTCATGGTCCACCCCAGTTTTGCAAGGTCTCCCACCGTCCTCCCACTGTCCTCCCGCTTTCTGGATCTCCCGGCCATCCGCAAGGCACGTTCAAAGGTCGTGCAAAGGGCGGAATTGTTCCATGGGTTGATGCGCAAAGAGCCCAAGAGCCTCAAGCGTTCTCGGCCCAGGTCAACCCGGGGGCCCGGTCTTTTCCCACCATGGCTCAGTGCCCAACAAAAACTGCTTGGTGGTTGACCTACCCCTCTGAAAAATATGAGTTCGTCAGTTGGGATGATGACATTCCCAATATATGGAAAGTCATATAGCAGCCATGTTCCAGTCACCACCAACCAGAAAACATCTATTGCTACTGTACCGCACACGAAAAACCTAGCGCCTGATAGCGACTCCGGGCTACCCCAGCTAAAATATGGGGATAAGTCTAGTTCCAAAAAACAACCGTTGGGTTTGTATGAAATTAGGGGCCCCCCAAATCCCTCCAAATCCATGGGTTTGAAGAAGCCTAGTTTTTCCTATGAAAAAAATACGAAATGGATCGAAATGGCCAGGACTGGGGATTTCATCGCCCATGTTCTGATAGAACCATTTACCCTCTGGTAATTTAACATAGCTATTGAAAATCACCATGCTATTAATGGGTAAATCCACTATAAATGGTCATTTTCAATAGCTATGTTAGTTTACCAGAGGGTACTAATCTGATGGACTATCTGATGGATCATCCGATGAGCATCCCTCATCACTGGCACTGATGCAACATGGTGCAACCATGTGACACGCGGCTGCAGCCAGAAAATTCACTCACGATGCACACCTCGTGGGGCACAGCAGTGGCCAACCGTTAACACCGAGAAAAGCTATAGGATGATGCCATAGCAGTCATGGGGCAGCACAAAAATGACAACTTCGAGTCAACTCGGATAGAGATGGACAGTTGCCTTGAATCTTCCAGGTGGTTGTGGCCGGATATTTCTCATTTTAATAAATTTTAATGGCACATTTGCCCAGCTTTGCAACCCAACAGCGAAAGGTTCCAGAAAGGTTCCAGGACTGTTCCGGTTTTTCGGGGCGTGCATGTTCGTGTCACCAGTCCCCGGCCCCAGAGATTGAAACCCAACAGATTCACTGTTGGGAAAATAATACTGACCCAAGAGATTTTGAGATACCGTTTTTCAGATAGTACAAATCCACGGCATTTTCATGACATTTACGCACTAATTAACAAAAAAACACTCATTGGCTCATTGGCACAAACCCTGCCTTGGATGTAGATGTACCATGCTGCGCTGTCACAAACTCGAAGGGCATGAGGTTCAGGCCGTTCTGAGCAGGGACCCATCCCTGCCATACCCCGGAAAGGATCTTCAAGGTTTTTTAAGTTTTCAGTATGTCTGAGACGAGTTTAAGCCGAGTTGAAGGGGCTAGAAATGGGGGGAATGCCATTGCATCTCGTAATGTGGTAAACCCATTAGTACAACATCCCCACATGATTTACCTGGAAATAGGTGAGAATCCCCACAAGGAACAACATATCTTCATCATGGGGGCTACCTTCTGATTGTTTAACAATGTTTAACATAGCTATGGAAAATCATTATGTTCAATTAAAGGTAACTCATCATAAATCATCGAAATCAGTGGGTTGTCTGGTCGTAGCTTAGCCGCTGCCAAAAAAATCCTATCCCTCATTTCTGGGCAGACCCATACCCTACTATTGGATATATAATAATATATAAGTTATATATTTATATATATATTTGGGTAAATTATAATATTTCACTAACCTGAATTGTTCGGCCATTTGGGGATGATTTCCCTTACTAACCATTCTTCCAGGGTTCGGTCGCAGTGAGGTCAACATCCCCATGTTTGATGATGAATTATCCGCCATTAATTGGGATAGAAACACCCCCAGTTACCCAACCATCATTTCGAAACACAGACTGGGTTCATCATAATTGATCCAAACAAACACATATAATGTATAATTGTGATATTATGTTATATTATCCCGCTATTCCATTTTAGTCCAAATTGTTCCATATTCTTCCTTGATATTCCATATTATTCCGTTTAATTCTATGTTATTCCATATTATTCCATTTTATTCCATATTATTCCATATTAGTCCATTTTATTCCATGTTATTCCATAGTGTTCCATATTATTCCATATTGCTCCATATTATTCCATATTATTCCATTTTATTCCGTATTATTCCGGATTATTCCATATTGTTCCACATTATTCCATATTGTTGCAAATTATTCCATATTATTCCATTTTATTCCATATTATTTCATTTTATTCCATTTTATTTCACATTATTCCATTTCATTCCATTTTATCTCACTTTGTTCCATATTATTCCGTATTGTTCCATATTATTCCATATTATTCTTTTTTAGTCCATATATTGTTCCATATTATTCCATATTGCCCCTTATTATTCCATATTATTCCATTTTATTCCATGATATTCCAAATTGTTCCAGATTATTCCGTATGTATGATTCCATATATTAGTCTATTTTAGTCCAAGTTGTTCTATATAATTGTTTTCACATTCTTCCATTTTACTCCATTTTGTTCCATATTATTCCATATTATTCCATATTAGTCCATTTTTGTCCATATTGTTCCATATTGTTCCATATTATTCCATATTATTCCAAATTGCTCCATATTATTCCATATGATTGGAAATTATTCCATATTATTCCATTTTATTCCAAATTGTTCCAGATTATTCCAAGTTATTCCGTATTATTCCATATTGTTCCATGTTAGTCCAAATTGTTCTATATTAAATTATTCCACATTCTTCCATTTGATTCCATGTTGTTCCAAATTATTCCAGATTATTGCATTTCATTCCAGATTATTTCTGATTATTCCATATCATTCCAATTTAGTCCAAATTGTTCCATTTTATTTCATATGGTTCCAGATTATTCCTTATTATTCTATATTGATCCAAATTATTCCATATTATTCCAGACTATTCCATTTTATTCCATATTATTCAATTTTATTCCATATCATTTCGTATTATTCCATGTTTATTCCATATTGTTCCATATATTATTCCAAATTATTCTTTGTTATTCCATCTTGTTCCATATTATTCCAGACTATTCCATATTTTTCAAGTTTATTCCATATTATTCCATATTATCAAACAGTTTCCGACAAATATCACCACAGATTGATGGCACGCCCATCACATCCCCATGTTCTCCTTGGCACTGGTGTCCAGCAGGATATCCGCAGCTCGGAAGAGCCCCAAGCGTTCGTTCCGCTCCGCCTGGTCACGGCGTTCCGCCGGTCGGAGAAGCGGTCAACGTTGGTTGTTTTGGGGAGTCTATTTGAGGGGTGACGACTTGGGATGCCCCATTAAAAAACAGATGGTTGAGGATTTTTACCCTCTGGTAAACTAACATAGCGAACTGGAAAATCATCATTTTTAATGGGAAAATCCACTATTTCTATGGCCATTTTCAATAGCTATGTTAAATTACCAGAGGGTATCCATGTATCTCCTAGAGTGAGACTTGACATGTATGATTCTTCGGTAGAAACAAAGAAAGGTTGTGTTTGTTTGGGTGGAGTGTCCTGTACTATATTTTTCCATTTATAGCTGAACATGAAACTATCAATCTCCCCAACTATTGAACAATATAAAATATTTACTGGTTTGTGGATAGAGGATTCTTTCTACCTCCTTCTGAATCTTCCAAGCCCTGGTAGCCAAATAAATGGCCATCCCTCACTAAGGGTCAATGCGGAATATTGTCAGTTGCCCATACGAATAGGGTCTACAATTGTCTTCTGAATGGCCCAAACAGTTTCATCCACACCTTCTTGTCAGTTCAGCTACTTTTTTTCTTGGAGCGAGGCAGCCCTATGCTCCGAGCTGGTTCCAAAAACTGAGGTGGATAGCTCAAATCTGTCCCCAGGTACAAAATGTTCTTCCGTGTACAGAGTTGTGGCTGAAACTCTATATTTCCTTGATTGCTGAATCACCATGCTTGTCCTCTTTGTTATCCATAAATTGAGCAACCAGAAACCATGGTTTAGCATTCTTGATGCTGAATCCCAATGTATGATGATCAACCATTGTCACCATTTATGAGGGTTGGACAAGCACTTCTGAATCACAATTTTAGATGGTTAAATCCCAAGGTCTGCTGGTGAGACTGCGTGAAATCCCCATGTTTGATAGTCATATGAGTCATATTTCCCATGTTCGATGCTTAAATCCTATATGTTCTCAATATTCCAACCAACAAATGCCATCATATTCCATACAAAGTGCCCATAAAGTATATATATATATACATACATATGTACAGTAATTAAATAAATAATATAACTATAAAAACGTAAACAAATAAATAAAATTTTAAATAAATAAGTAACTATAAATAAACACATTAAAACATATATATTTACGGCAAATGCCTGGGCTTTGCCACAAACCGCAACGACGACGGGCAACGCATCAGCATCAGCATCAGCATCATCGTCATCATCATGATCATCATCACTCCATCATCAATTGAATGTAAAGTTTAACGGGGGTGGGATTGTAATATTCCCTAATACCTTTGTTGATCTTCTCAATTGAATGTAGAGTTTAACGGGGGTGGGATTTTAATATTCCCTAATGCCTTTGATTCTGATAATCTTACCAACTAAATCTTAAGTTTAGCGGGGGTGGGATTTTAATATTCCCTAATACCTTTGTTGATTTTCCCAATTGCATGTAGAGTTTAACGGGGGTGGGATTGTAATATTCCCTAATACCTTTGTTGATCTTCCCAACTGAATGTAGAGTTTAACGGTGGTGGGATTTTAATATTCCCTAATACCTGTGTTAACCTTCCCAATTGAATGTAAAGTTTAAGGGGGCGTGGGATTTTAATACCTTTGTTGATCTTCCCAATTGAATGTAAAGTTTAACCGGGGTCGGATTCTAATATTCCCCAATACCTTTGTTGATCTTCCCAGTTGAATGTAGAGTTGCAACAACATTTGATTGGGAGAGCCCTCTACGCTTTAGTGCTGGGGCAAAGCCCAGGCGTTGCGCGTATAAATGGTCCAGCGTTCCAACTCCCCTCCCTTGGTGTGGTGGGGGTGTGGTACTGTCTCCTCCCCCCTCGTGTGGTGCGGTGGGGGTGTGGTACTGTCCCGTATGGTATGTAAGTCTGTTGGGTATGGTATGTTTGATATGACAGTATGTATGGTCTGTATGGTATGTATGGTTACTATGATGGGTATGGAATGTTTGTGTTTGTTATGTAGGGTAGGTATGGTATCTATGGTATGTATGTATGGTAGGTGTGGTAGTTATCTTTCATATGTATGGCATGTGTGGTATGTATGATAGGTAACGGTATGTATGGTCAAAGTTCGTATGGTATGTATGGTATGTATGGTATCATTGGAATGTATGGTAGGTACGGTATATGTTAAACACATGTAGTGTTGTGAGAGTACACAGGTAGTAAATAGGAAGTAGATTCACAGCACATGTATATATGACTACAGGTAGCACGTAGGTGCTTTGAGGGCGTATGTGTGCTACGTAGGTCGTCTAAAAGGTAGCATGTACCTAGTAAATGCGAGGCTGGTAGTCAGAAATGCTGCAAAGACCTAGCAAATGAGAGGCTGGACCTCAGAAATGCTGCCAATAGCTTGCAAATAGAAGGGAAGGGGGTGCTGGAAAGGGGGGTGCTACCTAGGGACCCATACCATTGGGGGGGGAGTAGGAACACGGAACACGAGACCGTATACCCTCCGGTAATTTAACATAGCTATTGAAAATGGCCATTTATAGTGGATTTACCCATTGAAAATGGTGATTTTCCATAGTTATGTTAGTTTACCAGAGGGTATACCCCATAAACCCTGGTTAACTAAGTTTTAAATCAACTGAGCGATCTAGGCGGCCTCACAACATTCCCAGCTCTCGCCTTTTCAAGGCGCATAAAGATGTGGCAGGTCTCGGGCGTACCTGGCAGCGTTGCCAGCCTCGGGTTTAAGCGAGACTCTACAAGAAAACATACTGTGGTAAACCCAATAATAAACGATCCCAAATAGGGATGTACTGTACCCAATGATAAACTATAATTGGGGATGGCTTACTATTGAGTTTACTTCATTACCTAGATGGGCCATGGGATTCCTTAACTGGTTTGTAACTTGGATATACCTGCATATACAATGCGTTATAAATTTTAAAGTTATAACCCACTGACTAACCAGTGAACTAATCCTACCAACATGTATTGGATTTTCTTGCAGATGTGTTTACCTTCCGATTCTTGGATAGTAAGTCCCTGTTTCGTTGGAAATTGTAGAAATAACGTGCTCCTGCACCTCCGTTCAGCAGCTCGAATTCCAACTTGCCATTGGAGGAGCTCAACAGAGCATCGGCCTACGCTTCGAGTTCAGGGGAGCTGAATTTCAGGAGTTGTTGGCCAAGTTTTCATGTGGTTTATCATGGCCAATGATGGTTAATAGTTGTTAATCCAGTTGTTTTTTTCTTAATATATAATAATATGTATATATGTATGCGTATACACATGTATGCGTATACATACACATATATGTATGTATACGGTGATGGTTGTGTAGTGATGGTAGTACAAGAGTATCATGGGAATGTATGGGGATTAATGACGGCTAATAACATTCACCAAGTATTGGTGTATATATATGTATGTATGTATGTATGTATGTATGTATATATATATATACTTACATACTGATATACATAATATTGATATCATGGGACTATTTGGGATTTTACTCTGAACTGCTCCCATCGGCTACCCATCAGAGTCACTCGAGAGTCTTGTTCTTTTTATTTCTTTGAAATATCTCAGAGTGCACAGGGACGGTCCTTCACTTCTCAATGGGGATGAGGTCAAACGGTCCATGGCGCGAGCTACAGCCAGGGATGCTGCTAATCCCACTTGTTTTCACTGGACAGTATCAAAACAACAACTCTAAAAAGTGCTGTTTTTTCTTTAAAAAACCCAGAAATGGATACAAATGCAGTTTTTTTTGCTCAAACACCCCCTATCATCCCAGTGGTGTTATCCCATTGGGATATATTGGGATCATGTAGCTATACTACCATGATATGAAGGTTTCCTAAAATAGGGCTAGCCCTAAATCATCCATTTTGATATAGGATTTTCCATTATAAACCATCCATTTTGGGGGAACCCCACTTTCGGAAATCTCCAGATATCATCATATATCTACCCAAAAACCGTAACTACCGGTCGCCCCTTCACCCAGCTGCACCTCCTTGCGTAGGCGGGCCATCACAACTAGATCTGGCAATTGCGAAATGGTCAGCAGTTGGCATTGAGATTTTTTACTGCCTGGGTTGGCCACACAAAATCACACACATATTTTTTGTAATGCCACAAACATCCGTAGATTGTAAGTTTAGTATTGTTGAGAAGCTTTCCGTGAACAGCTTTCCAAACAATTCCAAACGTGTTGTCGATGGCTTCTGCTGGTTGGTTCATATGGAATCCAACGACTCTGTGACAATAGATCTCTTTGGTCCAAGCAGTGCAAGACACAACATCCAGCAGCGAAGTTCCCACAGTAGTGTTCGCATCTGTTCGCCATATCCACATTGGACATGTCTGATGCTTAAGTCACCACATGTTTGTTGCTGAACTACATACCAATTTTCCATTTGTTGTTGGATGCTATTTCTTTTCTTGGGTCATCACGTTAAATCATGTTAAATTATGTTAAATCATGGTTAAATCATGTTATATGAATCATGTTAAATCACGTTGAATCCCAGTTCATCTTCATTCGATACCCATCGGTGTTGCTTTGTGGATTTTTATCGGCCACAACTGGCGCCCACCTTCTTTGCCACCCACTGCCTCAAAGCAATACCTATACCAGCTGTCGAGTGGCAGCGGTGAGAGGATGGCGGAGTAGAAACCATAGGAAAAAAAGGGTTACAAAGGGGACCCTGTATGGTTTGTCTGAACAGATTGTACCCCTGAAATCATTGGTTACTTCATCACCAGTTTTCCAATCAACATTGCCATACATTGAGGCAGTATGGGGTAATTGTAGCCTATTTTATCTATAGGCTGGTCGGTAGAACATGTGGAACCGACTCTACCTCGGGGAACAGCCTTTTTGGGACATGGCACAGATTGGCACAGCTACTGCCTTTGGGATCCCCCCAAAGGGGGCACTGAACCAGCACGCACTTCCCGGTGTATTCAGGCTTCTCTTTCAAGAACCTGGCAGGTTTGATGAAAGTCTGACAGACCACAAGAAGGTGGTCACCAAATCTTGCACACTTCTCCACGCAAATTTTGTTTGACAACATAGCAATCATGACAGTCTGACAGACCGCCGCTGGCAAATGCATAATATATGTATCTAGCTTGGGAACCCAAGAAAGTTTGGTATGGAGGTTCTAGGTTCTGGTCACCCGTTTCAGTTGCAAAGACATCTCAATTCAATCAAATGCAGATCGGATCTGCACTTCGGAGAATTATGTCGATGATTAGCGACTAACGTTGCAGAATCCAAGCAAATAAGTACATCGTCACGCTCCGTATTGAGTCACATTCTCATTTTGATCATATATATATATATATATAAATCTGTATATATATATATATATGTATATATATATATATCTATATATATAATAGTATCGCAATGTTTCTAGGATTGTCAACGCCAAAAGCTCATTTCCTGCTGCTTTCAGCCATTAAATTCATAGTTGCCCCTTCCTGATCATACCTTTGGGGGTCTAGGCGGTGCAGTTTCACTAAGAAGTGGCTAACAAAAAACCATAGTTTTCGGGGCCCCATATACCCTCTGGTAAACTAACATAACTATGCGAAATCACATTTTTTAATGGGGAAACTCACTATAAATGGCCATTTTCAATAGCTATGTTAAATTACCAGAGGGTATTCCATTTTATAATATATTACGATCTTATGATCATAGTTGAATACTTATTATACTTATTAATCACCCCCCTAACAATTAATAATTAATAATTAATGATAATGAACATATATGAAGATAGTGATGATTCCCATAGTTATTCCCATAGTTATAGCCATGAATCCATAGCAAAATATCCCATCCGCCCCCGCCATAGCTGGGGCTCTCGGGCTGTTTGAAGGCTTGGAACTTGGGGATCATGCCCGAGAGTCCATCGGCTCGATCCATACCTGGCTCACTTTGGCTGATTTTATCATGGTTAATCTGGGGTAATCCACAAAAAACATGTACCCTCTGGTAAACTAACATAGCTATTGAAAATGACCATAGAAATAGTGGATTTTCCCATTAAAACTTGTGATTTTCCATAGTTATGTTAGTTTACCAGAGGGTAATCTTTTGCTGGTTATATATACATATATTATACATATGGTCATGGTTATTTTAACCATCGAATGAGCAACAAAAACAACATTATTTTTCTTGAACAAACCTATCAAAAAAAGTTGGGGATGTAAAATGTCGTAAACAACACTTAATTCAAGATGAAAGTAACATCCTACTAGAACTCAATGGTCAATTATATATATATACATATAAATTAATTATCAATGTCAATGATATGTCAATTATATATTCACCTTTTCAGAGCATTTGTTCAATGATTCTTGCAGGGGAGTCACCATACCTACACTTTGGTATGCCGGAGCCAGCTCCTGGTCCCATCCCAGGATCCCCAGGATCTGCTGCAAACGAAACGAAAGGACGAAGCCGGGGAAGCCGTTTTCGTAAGCACCTCATATGAAAAAACAGCTTCAGAACTTCATGCTATAAACTATGTAAAACACTAATATAAACATTAATATACACACATTAATATAAACATTAGATACATATATAACACATTAATATAAAACATTAATATCAACAAGATCAACATTGGGCATGTTTTTCCACAGGCTAAATCAACGAAAAGCAGTCGCACCTGCGAAAATGATCTTATCGGGGAAGAGCTCCTTCACCTGGCGTCATAGTCATCCTCAAAAAGGAAGGTTGAGCAACTTAGATTTACATAACATTAAGATCCATCAAGTATATGATGATTATATATATAATATATATGTATAATATATATATATAAACATCATATACTTGATGGATCTTAATGTTATGTAATATACATATTATGTATATTATATCATGTTATATTATATTTTAATATGATATAATATAACATAATTTAATATACAGTAATATAATCTATAATCACATCTTGGAATAAAAATACAACAAGTAACAAAACTATATTATGTTCCCAGAGTTGACTCCGCGACAAGTACATGGTGTTTAGCTGCTACAGGTGGGGTTGGCACAATGGGTCTTTACTGATCTGACAGGGAACGGGTGAACACAATGACAGCACACATTTCATCACATGTCCACTACCCTCTGGTTATTTGTTACATAGCCATGGAAAATCACCATTTTTAATAGGTAAACCATCTATTTCTATGGGCCATCTTTTCCATGGCTATGTTAGTCATAAACAGAGGGTATTTCAAAAGGATTCGTATCCCTATGGCATCTTCTACAGGACAAGCACAAAACATATCTCAAGCCTGTGACAAATGTGACAAGGCAACTCGAACGCCAAACCGAAAGCAACAACGGAGTTGAATGAATGCAAGCCCTGATTTGGAGAGCTATTTTCCAAACGATCCCTTTCTCAAACAGTGATGAGGAACTTCATACGGTCTATCTCCAGCTGGAAATCGCCTCATTTTTTTCCAGCTAGCCTGCTTGAGTCATACAAACCCTTTGTTCCCCTCTTCATTTGATACTAGTTGGTGGTTTCAATCCCTCTGAAAATGATGGAGTTCGTCAGATTGGATCATCATCCCAGCTATTGGGGAAGTCATAATGGCGCCATGTTCCAAACCACCAACCAAATGAATAATATTGATAATTATTGATTATCATTAACCATTATTAACAGTATAGGAAACCACCATTATTAACCATGACATGGCACAATCCCAAACAGGATAGGTTCTTGGCATCCCATGACAACTCATGGCACCGCCTTCACAGCCTCTCTCTGGACCTCCTCGCTTTCCACCACTTTGATGGATGCCTCCGGTGTCGCCCGGGAAATCCCCAAGTAAAATGGAGGTTTAGAGCGAAAATCAACTGTAATTTTCGTGAATTTTCCAGCACGCCATGTTTGATTACTGGAAGGATCTGGAAGGTAACAAAGAAGTGATGATTTGTTTTGTGACTGTGGGGGGAGCTTGGATACCCAACAAGGAAACCCACCTGCGCTGGCATCTGAGATCATCTACAAGCATCTGATTGTCCAAAAAAAATGAACAAACACCAAACACGGTCTTGGTCTTGGTATCATCTGTCAAAAAACACATATTTTTGGTGGGTCTGATATACCAAGATACCCTATAAATAGATACCCCAAGGGAGAATTCAACGATTCAGATCCAGGTCACCGCTCCCCCTGCCTGATAGGGGTAGGCAAAGTGAGACACCTGGCATGGCCATTCCTTCGATTGGAAGTTCAACCTTTTACAAAAATAGATGTATTGGTACCAACGGACATCCTGTTCTCAAACTCATATATATATATATATGTATGTATGTATTTTTTTCCAGGGGCACACAGCAGCATCCGCTGCGACCTGCATGTCATTCATGGTCCATTGTGGCCACATATATATATAGTAAGGATCCAGCAGATAGAATATAAACCATAATTCACCCCCCAAAAAAAAATACTACATAAGCAGGTTTGCAGGCAGGAATTTCAACAGATAGAATACCGGCAGGTACGGACTAGATCCGTGTATATATATATATAGGGTTTTGTAACATTTTTGTCTTAAAAACTTAAAATATTTTAATTATTTTTATTTTTTTTATTTTTCTATAATAGATATAATTTAGATAAAAAAAATATTCTATCTGTTTGATTTGCATATATATATATACGATTTGGTGAGAATTGATGCAGAAAACAACTAAAGGTATATCTTTTGTTATCTTTTTGTTTAACAAATATTCACACATGTATGCAGGTTTGAACATTTGTTTGTATGCAAGCATTGCTGGTAAGCATTTCCAGTGTATAATGTGCAAGTAATATTTAATTAATTTTTGGATCAAACAGCAAGAATGACCGTACATCAACTGTCCCATGAACCCATGACAGCAAGTGTATTCACTGTATGATTAAAGACAATTGTAAACCATATTCTATATAGAGAATTGATGCAGAACACAATTAAAGATATATCTTTTATCTTTTTGTTTAACAAATATTCACACATGCATGCTTCTGACATGATCATGTTTCCTTTATATGACGATACTGGAATATTCTATCTGTTTGGTTTGCCTATATATATATGTTTTGATGAGATAGATGCAAACAAAAACTGTACAATTAGAAACCACGAACATGTGAATATGTACAAAATCGACATTACATATTATTCTCACATTATATTCACTGTATGCCAGCATTGCTGGCATGCAGGTTTGAACATTTGTTTGTATGCCAGCATTGCTGGTAAGCATTTCCAGTGTATAATATGCAAGTAAAATTTAATTAATTTTTGGATCAAACAGCAAGAATGACCGTACATCAACTGTCCCATGAACCCATGACAGCAAGTGTATTCACTGTATGATTAAAGACAATTGCAAACCATATTCTATATAGAGAATTGATGCAGAACACAATTAAAGATATATCTTTTATCTTTTTGTTTAACAAATATTCACACATGCATGCTTCTGACATGATCATGTTTCCTTTATATGACGATACTGGAATATTCTATCTGTTTGGTTTGCCTATATATATATGTTTTGATGAGATAGATGCAAACAAAAACTGTACAATTAGAAACCACGAACATGTGAATATGTACAAAATCGACATTACATATTATTCTCACATTATATTCACTGTATGCCAGCATTGTTGGCATGCAGGTTTGAACATTTGTTTGTATGCCAGCATTGCTGGTAAGCATTTCCAGTGTCTAATATGCAAGTCATATTCAATTAATTTTTGGATCAAACAGCAAGAATGACCGTACATCAACTGTCCCATGAACCCATGACAGCAAGTGTATTCACTGTATGATTAAAGACAATTGTATTAATGATTTCTGGTCGTATTTTATGTTTATATCGAAACATGAATAACACATGCACCAACATGTTTTGGTTGCTTCATAGGCATTACAAAACAATATTTCAGGTTAGCGATCAGGGTTCAACTTCCAACGTGTTCCAGCTACTAGCAATGGCAGATCTGAAAGAGTATTCGAAACATTGTTGTGCCTCCCTGGAGGGTATCAAAAGGAGATTTGAAGACAAAGACTATGGTGGCACATCACAAGCAGTAGAAGCGGCCAAAGAGTTTCTATCAATTGGAAAGAAAATGATGATTCGCTTTCAAACATTGAGGAAAAAACCCGAGGAGAGGAAGCAATGGATTCGAGACACTTTTGGTGGTGATGCTATCTCAAAGAAGTCACTCAATGTTCAGCAGTCGTTGCTAGTTAGCAAACTAGTCAGTCGGCAAGTTCCAGCAGTTGAAGCTTCGATTATGCAAGTTGCAGTTCGTGCAGCACCTGGTGTGACAAGCAAGGAATCACTTTGTTTGACTTATGACACATCATGCGAGAAGTTCAAGGCTGTAGTTTGCGGCGACAATGAGAACATGACAAAGATGTTCGACACTCCCAAGGAAGCTAAGGGCTGGTTGCTGAGCATGGGGAAATGTTCAGAGGCCGGGGCACAAAACATATATATATATATATAGATATTTACATATACAACACTTATATGTAAATATGTATGAAATATTATATATGTATATATTTAAATATATATATATAGATAAGATCTTATATATATATATATTTGGTTTTGGTAGTGGTTTTGAACAGATAGAATATTATGTCAACATAATGTTCCCTCCAGGCTGGACTTCTAGCGAAATCCATGGACGCCGTGGAGAAGGTAGGTAAATCCTACGTAGCTACAGAGAAGGCACTTGATGGTATTTCGAAACAAAGTGAGGCCACATTCCAGGAAGCCGTGGAGAAGCAGTCACCAGTTGACACAGACAAAGAAATCAAGTTTGTAGATGTGACCCACAAGCTATTTGAGAAACCGGTCATTGACGAGTTTCCACAAAGCAGTGTGTGCATTTACAAGGGCATCATTTCCAACCTTATCTCTTGGGGACGTGAAGGTCAAGGTGACAAGATATGCGGTATCATGTCAGGTGATGGAAAGTCTGTATTGGATGTGGTTATTTGTACTGACTTTCAGTTGTGCATCACATCGGATCGGTTGTCGAAACGATTGAGCAATCTAAGCCTGCAACCTATGGGCCTCGTGGTGTGGGCAAAAGACTTCGACATTCAACTTCATGATTTTGCACAATCGATGAAAGATTTGAAATCACCTTACGATACACAAGTTCTTCTTGTCATGTGTGGTGGACATGACCCAAGAGTATGGGATACACATATTCAAGAGGATGGTGATGTGAAGTTCACAAGATGCAATGGTGTCAAATTCCAGACAGGTAGGAAAAAAGAAGAAAAGTACAGAGTTGTGGATTTCAGCGCGTTGTCCAAAAACACTGTTGACAACATGCACGATGCTGTATCAGCAGTGCTTCAGGATGTCTTGAAAGAAGCATTATCTAAAAAGCTGAAACCATTTGACATTCATGAAGCATGTGATCTACAAGAGCATTGTGTACCTGCTGACGGTCTGTGTTTCTGGCATAGTGTTCTAGGGTCTTTGGACTTCGATGTATGGAAAACGGTTCCTCGGAAGAACTCAGGATATTCGACCAACCAAAGGATTGTAAAGACTGAAGAAGATCGAGCACGCAAGTTCATGAAAACTACAATGGAAAGGGTACGTGATCGAGATCTTGAGACTTCTAGATGTGATGAGATTCTTGCAACTGGCTGTGTAGATGTGATGGACATCGACTTCATTGCAAAGGCTTTGGGCATTGGTGTACGGTGCACCATTTCTGATGAGGCTGAACTCGGGGAGGTGGAGGTAAGAGGATGTTTAAAAATACTATTCTTATGTATATATATATATACATATTCATATTTATATGTATATATATATATATATATGCATGCTCTTCAATTATATTTAGGATATATATATATATGTCTTTTTGTATGGGAGAACACAAATTCGCACATACAGGGATCTATGATTGAAATGATTTACAAAGAAACTAAAAAGTAATACAAAATCAACAGATAGAATATTCCACTGGAGATTGGGACATGACCATCATGTACACTGATTGCTGAACTGGCTCAAAATATACCACAAAGGAGATTTGCAAATAGAAAAGATATCAATTTAGTTCTATTGATATAGCTGCAATGGCATCCGTCGTTGGCTTTGATGAAGAGAACGCCAGTGATCAATCTGCATTTGTGTGGTTTGTATCCATCCTGGTAGTGCTTGTTAGCATCTTCATCAACATCACTTGGAAGGTTTTGATCACATGTTTCCGTCGCTTTGTCAATGAGAAGATCAGCGGCACTTTGATTGACAACGAGGTGGGCACTGCATGGAAGCATACAAAGAATGCAGCTACTCAAACTTTGGAACGCTATGGATGCAATGATTTGATCGGACCAGTCTATGTGACCAGCAGTGGGGAACGGTGGCACAAGGCGCAATGTGGACATCTTCTTAACCGTCCGACAAAAATGTTTACACCATGCAAAGATTGTGCACATGGTTGATTTATGAGAATGTGTGAACATAGGTAGACACATTTTGTGTTCACTTGCTGCAACAGGCATTACTTGTATATTTATATATATAGTGTATATATATATACATATGAAATGTATTTGAATGAAAAAAACGATATGATTTGATCATGTGAAAGCAAGTGAACAGCGAGAAATGATACCTGATAAATGCGCTGGATCATACAAAAAGAGCCGCTTGGAATGGGCATGGTTTGGGAAAGGATTTGGAATTGATCCGGACTAGAAATTTCAACAGATAGAATATTTGGATGAAACACTACGTGTATATATATATATACGATCAAATTACATGTATATTGCTTGCATGCTAGCGTTGCTGGCAAGCAATGTCATATCTTATTGCATGGCAGTGTTGCTGTCATGCAATCTATATATACTATATACTTTGTATGCCAGCGTTGCTGGCAAGCAAACTATATTGGCTTGTATGTTAGCGTTGCTGACAAGCAGTGCCATATCTGCTTGTATGCC